ACCACCACACAGATAGAAACCGCAAAAAGATTACAGGTTTTGGACTGTTTGGTATGAAAAAAAGAATAGAAAAGAAGAGAGAATGGGAAGAAGAATATTCAAGAAGAAGAAGGTAAAAGAAGAAGAAGAAGCCAGGCGGTTCCTAACGCCTTGTTTCTCTTTTTCTTCTCCTCCTTCAAGCGCTTAGCACCGGACGGCCGCTCGTGCGTGAGCGCGCTATAAGCTAGATAGCGTGTGAGATGGAGAGACGCAGACAGCGGAGCCACGCCCACTGACCGGACGGAACGGCACATGCTTCTTGAAACGGTATACGCTCCCCCCGTATAAACCGCACACGCACACTTTTTTCTGATTGCTCTCTCGGCAGATGCCTTTTTTGCTCTTTTTTGCTCCGAACAGATGGAATCATCGTATTACGTGTGGCACTTGCGCAGCAACTTTTGAGAGGAGAACTTTCTAGAAAAAGAAAAGGTGTGGCTGATAAAGAAGAAGGGGAAGACGTTCAAATGAATTATGACTACTCCATAAATAGAAAATGAAGTGTCAGTTTGATAGAGAAGAGACATCAATCAAAAAAGATGACAGTTTTTGAAATGTTCTGAAATCTTATACTTTTGTTCTCTCAGGGAAGCCTAGGAGTCAACGTTTCTCGAAATGTATATATTCTGAAACCTAAATTTCTTACATTCACGAAATATCATAATCTCACAATCCTAATCTTATTGTTAGAACCCTACTACCGTATTTTCTCTAATAGAAGCTCACCAAAACTATCAAGTTTGGGCTCAATTATCTCGATTTCTTCAGAAGATATTAAAAGGTTGTCAACTGATAAATTTTTAATCATGTTATCAACAATATTTTACTAGTTGACAGCATTTGATATCTTTTACAGGAATCGAGATAATAGAGCTCAAAGTTGACGGTTTGTGTGGGCTTCTAATAGAAGGAATACGGTATCTCAAAACTTCTGAAAATCCGCTAAATTGCGAATTTTTGGGAGTTCCAAAAGTTTAGAAATCGCCCGACTTTCTTTCTAACCGCCAGTAAAACTTTTCCATTTTTACATCTACAATCTCAGAGTGTTTGATAGATATATGATAGTGCTTGACGGGAAGGATTGAAAGGGGTTGAATGATGATTCCTCGTAATCACCCGAGAGATGTCTCAGGGGTTGTTCGTTTTCTCTCTCAACATGTTTCTGCAAAAGAGATACGTCTTATCCCCAACTGCTTGGTGAAAAGCGAAGAACGAAAAACAAGAGAGAAAGTCGGATCATCGTTTCGGTGTCTTGAGAACGACTTGTGAGAACAAATTAGAAGGATTTGGAAAAAAAAGGAGAAGAAGCAGGTGAGAAAAGAAACATCGGAGGAAAGATCAAGGGAGCAGGTGTATTGTAGTTCTGGATGGAAGAAGATTGATGGAGGGATGATCCAGGTGAATATTCAAAGCAGTGAAAATTTGAATATTCTAAGGATAATATTTGAGAGCAGGTGTTAGAATAGGAAGGATACTGTAGTTTTGGATGGATAGTAGAAGATTGATGAGACTCACAATCAGGTGTGGTGGGTGAATGGAAAATAGGATTTGTTTGAAAATTTGAAAAGATTTTTAACTGAAAGTTAATAAATGAGCTTTCTATCTATATACTATAAACTTCGTAAGTTTTAAGAAAAAAATTAGATAAAAGGTAAAGATTACAAGGTTCTAAGATTCTGAGATTCTGAGATTCTGAGATTCTGAGATTCTGAGATTCTGAGATTCTGAGATTCTGAGATTCTGAGATTCTGAGATTCTGAGATTCTGAGATTCTGAGATTCAGGGATTCCGAGATTTCAAGATTCTGAGATTCTGAGATTCTGAGATTCTAAGATTCCAAGATTCCAAGATTCTGAGATTCTGAGATTCTGAAATTCTGAGATTCAGGAATTCCGAGATTCCAAGATTCCAATATTCTGAGATTCTGAGATACTAAGATTCCAAGATTCTGAGATTCTGAGATTCTGAAATTCTAATAGATAAGATTCTATAGATTTATCTCTCGAAGGCTTCTAAAGTTCTATATTATGAGAATCTGAAATCTTGAGATTTGAAGATATTGGAATTTCAGGAATCTAAAAGTTTAAAACTCTCTAAAAGCGTTACATGGAACTCAGACGACAAAATTCCAAACTCCAGCAACCACATGACCTTCTAAATCTGTCAGCTCCAAAATCATCTGAACTTTCAAATCTGCACGCATCCTTTTCCGTCTTGTCCTTCTTCTTCTTCGTCCCTCAATTCAATTACATAATCGTGTATCACTTTTTGTGCTTCTCTCGTTTTTTTCTCCCCAACTAAAAAAGTCAAAAAAAGAGACCAGAATTGGTGTCAAACACAAAACAACAACAAAAATATTATCCACCAGAGAGATCTCGTTTTTTTCTTCTCGAAAAAATACTAAAAACTACTAGTTCTTGGTCTCACGATAAAAAAGTGTACCTTCCTGGTAGAGGAAAAAAGAAGATTTTTCAGGAAATTTTGAAATTTGAATAGTTTTAAGAGGAAGAAGAAGAATGATATGATCGGAAAACAATCACAGCAGGAAGGGAATCAGTTATCAAGGAAAATGAAATAAAAGTGAAAAGACGAAGAAGAAGATGCAAATTGCACAAATGCGTGTGTATCACAGGAAGAGAGGAAGATAATCAACAGCTGATATGAATGAGCTCAAGAAGAAGAAATTGAGAAGAAAGAAATGAAGATTTTAGTCGTTTTAAAGAAAAGAAGAAGAGAGGATTGGGTGGAAATTGGGTTCATGACATCGGGGGAAACATTGAGAAGAATGTGAAGTGGGGAACGAACAATTTGGATTGAAAATTCAGAAAGATAAAATAGAAACTTATCATTTTCAGATGTCTTCTTAAATTGAGTACATTTTCCAAATTGAGTTTCAACAAAGTTTCCAGAATTGATGAGTTTCAATTTCTAAACTATTTGAACTCTGGAGTTTCTGGCGAATCTCAGTACCTCAGAATCTCAGAATCTCAGAATTTCAGAATCTCAGAATCTCAGAATCTCAGAATCATAGAATCTCAGAATCTCAGAATCTCAGGATCTCAGAATCTCAGAATTTCAGAATCTCAGAATCTCAGAATCTCAGAGTCTCAGAATCTCAGAATCTCAGAGTCTCAGAATCAACCAAAAAGAAATATTTTTCAGTTTTTGAACTTCTAGAAAATTCCCAAAACGAGTTTGAGATTCAAGCTTTGGGGCGTCTGAAACGGATTGGTCCGGGTGGTCACCTGATTTTCCGAATCCCAAAAGGATTGAAAAAGGGCAAAATGGGAAAGAAAAAGAAAGAAGAAGAAGAGATTGGCTCTTCAGAATAGACAAAGAAATTGTTAAACTCGAAAAGCAAAAGTGCATTCTTCCACGAGAATGGACCAATATACACTCTCTCATCAAAAAACATTGAACGGGTGGACAAGAAGACAGCACACTCACTCTCGTAAAGTGACCACATCAAAAAATAGAAGAAGGAAAATAAAAAGAAGAAGAAGAAGAAGAAATCGTATAGATGTCTTCTAAATGTCAGAAAAAAACATATCGAGACGAGGAAGCACAGAGGAAGTAAAAAAAGAAGGAGAAGGGCTACTCAAGTGTCTCCTCCGGAAATGGGAAAAGGAGTGGTCAAATCTGGAAGTATGGAAAAGAACATTTTTGGGAGAGGGGGGAGCAAGTTTTGATAACCGAAAATCAGAAAAAGGGCTGGGTTCTGGAATTCGGGGTATGCAAGATAAGAAAGAAATGAGGTCAGTGTTCAGAATATTCAGAAGTTTTTCGTTGAAAAATGTCTTGCAGAAATATCATTTTGGCATGAAAAAATCGGAGTTGTGGAAGAGAAACGGTAGTGGCCGTAGCCGAAAGTCCCACGACGACAACTACAGTAACCTAATAGTATTTTTGTTTTCCCGGATTTATTTTCTCGTTTTTCAAATAAGTTTTTTTTTAAATTATTTTTTCCCGCGCTTTTGGAATGCAGACACAAAACTGTAAGACTCGGCAATTCAATTTGAAGTTTTCGCGTCGAGACCAACGCATTTAATTACGGCATTCAAAATTTTGCGTCCGAGCGCATTTACTTCACGTCCTAGAAAATTAGAAAATTCAGAGGAAAAACTTTTCCGGAAAAGTGGGCGGAGCCTAAATTGCAAGCTGCGCACGGTTTTGCCGCAGCTTTTTGCACATTTGCATGAGAAAAACAATACGCGGCTTGCAGTTTGAGCTCCGCCCACATTTCACCCCAAAACCAAGAAATTCGGTCATCGGCCTCAATGCCCTTTTGCAGGATATGTCCCATGGTCTTTAAACTTCCCTTTTCGCTATTCCAGCGAGAAGACGTCCTCGTGACCATTTGAAGCTTTTTGATACTCAATAGGCAACAAAAAGCAGAAGTTTGCGAGATGTGATGTCAGCAAAAAACAATGTCGCCATTCCAAAATGGTTCCCATGAGATTCCAAAATTTTCATGATTATGTAATGATTCGAGAATGAATAAGAAAAAGAGGATTGTCAGAGACTTCATTTACAAATTCTTTTACCATTTTTTTTAGAAGGGCACACTTTAAAAGAAACAAAAACGATGACCCGCATATAGGTCAACAAAAAACTCATAAAAATATGTGGATGAAACAGAAAAAGAGCCAGAAATTAGAAGATTTGAATAGATTGAAACGGAGTGAAATTGTACTTTGTACACATTTGAGAGTGCAGTGATATCGTGTCAGAGGGATTTAAAGAATTTATATATCTAGTTACTTGCTCGCGATGAAACTGGTCAAAACGAATTAGTAAAGTGTTTGTAATTAAAGGATTATGTGGGACCCAGTAGTTTAAAAAAAATTATTCTGAGCAATTGTCGGGATGTGTTTGTCGTGGACTGGGGTAGAGTAGAAAACGTTGGGGTGGTCTATGTATAAAAAATGAGATGCGAGGAGACAAAGATCTTAGAGATTCTATCAGCATTCTTCCGATGCTCCTAACACTGCTGGCTGCTCATCCTGGACTTTAGCCTTCATTTTTCGGCGCATCTGGGCTCGCATTTCCGCCCTTCTTTGTTCGGCGAGTGCCTTCTGAAAAACGGTTAACGGTCAGTTGCTCTATAAATATATTTTCATGTTTCCCAGAAAATTTAGTTTTCCCATGCATGACTACATTCCCACGAAGCGACCAATGGATTCACCTGCTCAGCTAATTTCTTTTTGGTCTCTTCTGATACAATTGGAGCAACCTTCTTCGCCGTCATTGGTCTCGGCTTTGGAGCTTTTATCGTCGTATCAACGGCGTCTACTTCTTCCTCTATCGCATTTGGATCCCAATTGGAAGCACGGTACCGTTCGACTTTCGTGAATTCTTTTAAAATTCCTTTTAACTCCATATCGATAGTCATCCAGAATCCTTCTAAATCTTGAACAGTCACTGGCATCGGATCGTCAGGAATGGGATTCTGAACGGAAACGATTTATTCAAATATTCAAAAAAACCGGAAACTTACAAGGTTCTTATCGATTAATTCATTCAACTTCGAGAACTTCTTCCGCACTAGAAGATGTGCATTTCCATGAGCAGCTCTTAACGAATCCGCACACTTTTCCGGATAATCATCAGCATGCTCAAGATCTTTGCTCGCTGCATCCATCTTCGTCTGTAACTTTGCCTTCATTCTATCGTGAAGACTTCTGAATTCATGTCCATCCGATGGTGTAGACGTCGTCACTTCATCTTCTCTGGCATCCTTCAGAACTTCAACGTTTCGTTTGGAGCTGGCTGGAGACGATCCGGATATTCCACTATCACTTTCAGCGTCTGTTGAAATTTGAAGACTGGGAATTTTTGTGGCTTCTTTTTCCTCGTCGTTTCCATTCGCGTCCTTCTTCAAATCAATCTCGTCGAACAGCTGAAAATTATCAAATTAGATATACAATATTCTTATCAATAACAAGGCACTGCCCAAAAAAAACTTACCGGCTGTTGATTAATAATAAACTTGTGTGGCTCGATATTCTCCACACCTTCCTTCTCGTTCTTATGAGCACTACACAAATCCAACTGGTCGAATTTGCTTATGAGATCCCGAATGGGTCCGGGTGTCGAGACATGGTTGCCCATCTCGTTTTGAAGAAGTGTGTTGATTCGATTGTTGTGTAGCGGAGCGGTCGGTGTGTGGCTTCAAAAAAAGAACGATCATAATCAAGATTAATAGAAACTGGTTAACACATAGTTGAGTGTGGAATCTATTCTGTGTGGTGATTCACAAATTTCAGAAATACCTCTATAAGGTTATCAGCAAAAAGTCGAATGATTCGTACTGGGGAGGAGAAAAAGATAGAGGAGGAAGAGGGTAAAAAAAAGAATTCGGGAAACAAAGGACGGACATTTGTAGAGGGAGTGGAGGAGGAGAGAGAAACAACAGGCGGTGGTGGTAGTGGTCATCTTGAAGACGAGAAAAATATATTTATCATCACTATTATGATACATTTGTTCGGGTAAACGGTTGGCTTTCCCAGAGCCGCCTGGCTCATGGAGAAAGTCCACACATAACATATAAGATTGTAGGGAACGCGGGTGCGGAAATTGACTAAAAGCGCGAATTGGTGAGGATGGAGAAAGGGCAAACAACGGACACTCTTATCATGAAAAGCTCCGAAATCGTGCTGGGATCCGAGATATAGGCGATATCCTTTCACGAGTGTTGCCAAATCGTTTCGGCAAATCAATTGGAGTAAACCGAAAGAGAAAAAGGAAATCACCACTCCCTTATTACTTAATACAGGTCGTCGTCCAAAAGAAGGCCTGCCATAAACGTACGATTGAACGATTTCCACAAAAGCGTTCGGGTTGATATTTGTCCTAACACAAGACCCACACAAGTGCAAACACTAACATGGCCCAGTGCTGCTGAGACTAACCAGCATAGTTATTAATCTGGCGGGTATAATCCTATTGTAGAAGTGAAAATTCGGACAACTTTTCGGGAGGAAACAAAAATCGGAAGAGGGAGAGAAAGAGAAATTCAACACCAAAAGAGTCCCTTTCTACAGGAGAAGAAATCTATTGAGATTAGCATCTAGATCGGTTTTCGATTTGTGTGTGAAAGGGTCACCGATTCGGTTGTCGGGATTAAGTGCCTCCGGAGGGGTTATCTCGAAATAATCATCATCATAAATTAGGAGACATCAGAACAAGAAATAGGTAGAAACAATAAGAATGAACTATTGATGGATGAAGAAATTTGGAATTGGAAGAAATCGGAATTAACTAACCACCTGTGTGAAGGAAAAGGTCGAACTCACAAGAAGACAGTCAGAGAAGACAGTAATTTATCTACTAGTAGCAGCGGTGAGGGAAAAATCATTGTATATATGACAGGGCCAAAACCCAAACACAGCCATTCATTCTAAGGAGGAAATGGATTTATTGGAATCTGACTTTGATTGGCTTCGTTTCGAATCAAATGGAAGAAAAGATGACGCAACCAGTAGAGAAGGAAGAAAAAGAGGAAGAAGGAATGGAATGAAAGAGAAAATATGTGAAGAAAGAAGAAGAAGAAGACGAGATTGCAGAAAATAAGCATTGCTACTGTACAAATGTAGAAATGGGAGTGACCATTGAAAACCGTTAACAGGGTATAAACCTAATTCCTACGACCCAAAACCAAAAGTTAAATGATACCTCCCGCACAGGCGGTTCAGTGTAAAAATGCGCCACAGAAAACAACAGGTGTGAATAGCCAGGCGGTCCTCATTGATGTGGAACCAACCTAAACCCCCCCCCCCTGAATGGTTCAATTTCGATTGCTTGACGATTCTAGCTTGCCGTTATTCATGAATAAACGATGACGAGAAGAAGGGAAGAAGAGGTCCACTCGTGTCACATTCTGTGTTCTTCTGTTCTGTTGAGAAGATGAATAATTAGAGTGACACATGGAGTAAAAGTGGGTGCTCTCGAAACAACATCATACTGGCACAAGACGGGAAGAAAAGGGAGAAGAAATCGGATACGGTCCAAGAGGGATGAGTCTCGCAGTAGGAGATGACACGCATCGGATCGGATGAAAAAGATTGTAAAACAGTTGCGGAGGGAAATACAAGAGAGAGGCATCGAATTGTCACACTAATCCTCAAACAGGTTCTCGTATTCTATACATTCTTCTAGTTTCACAACTTTCAAGAAGACATCTGAAAGCGCATGCTTCAGGGGACCTACGGCAATTATTTTCACGCCTATTGAAGGCAGCGAATCTCAGCGACCAAGTGGGTGCAACCCAAAAGTATACAAAAAAGGCAGAAAGAGATTGGGCGGGGAGAGAGAGAGAGAAGGAGCGGGGGTGGTCAACCGAGGTAATTGTGTCTCAGGGACCCTGTTCGTTTCGTTCGTTTTACGCTTCAGTGTGTGTGTTTGTGTGTTCGCACTTGTGCGCCAATCTGTCATTGTCGCCGACGTCTCCGGAGGCAAACACACCCATCGAGAAGGAGTGTCTTTCTCTTCTCATTCTTTACATTTATTTCGCTTATCAAATTACAATTGATACTGCGGTAACCGAACGCCCGCGTCTCCGTTTCGTTCTTGCCGGTGATACCGTATGTCTCTTTGATGACGCAGAGAGTAGTGCTTGATAAGACAAAAAGAACCAACCATTCAATTTCGGACGTTTTCGATTCACTCGTCTGTGTGCTGGGCAACGGACTACCAAATCCAGGAGCTGGTTTCCTCTCTTGTGGCTGTGAGAACATTCTGGCACGCCTGCAATAATTGATCCAATATCAATTATTTTTAGTATATATCATATAATTAGTTTCCCTTTCCAAGAATGAGCTACTTTCGTTAATTGAAGTAATTTATTTAGGTCTGCGCTTCGATAACTAACCTTTCCACTAGACTTTCTCCAAGAACCACTGGAACTTTGGGTGTTAGATCGGCTTTTGGTGATCTGGAACTGAAATTTCATTTAAAAAAATTGCCCATTTTCTGACTCTACCTTGTATACCCATTCAAAGCACATGAGATTCTAAGATAGCTCGGTGTTCGATTTACTTCTGGGAAATCAGAACTGCCAGAGGATAGATCGTTCTCCGACATGAAAGCGCGCGGAGATTTTTCACCGAATCCAAATGGTTCATTGAGTGGAGCACATGACTGAAAAAGGATTCGCACTAGGACACAGCTGTTTAGCAGCTGCATGGAACTTACATGGGTATCACGAGAGGTTACAAAACGTAGGTCTGTCTCGGATTGTGCTCCAGTAGGCAATTGGGGCGCCAAACCTCTACTGTTGGCTGTTGTCTTTGTGGAGATGGCATGGAGGTCATGTTCAGACGTCGTTTTGGCTGTAATTGGTTTTACAATACAAATAACACAAGAGGTGGGATGAGTTATAGGTCTGTTAAGTAATGCATGAAGAAAATGAATCAGACGTCCATCCTGGTTGGAAAGGGGCGCAAACTTACTTGACAGACCATTTGTCGAGGCATCCAAACTGTCAGTTGAGGCGCCTCGTGAAGATGACGTTGACTGTAAAGTTTTCGAGCTCATGATATGTGAGAACCTAGGAAGTTGGCGAGGAGACAGTTCCCTTTTTTGGGTCAAGTTCACGTTTTATTTTCACGTACCTTGAACCTTCCTGTCGCTCGAAGTGTCGAAAATCTGTTGAGCAGGCGTCGAGCAGGTGACATTCTGGCTTCTTCAACCAGAAAATTCGCGGCCGCTTCTGTAACTGTAGGAGTTGTTTTATGTGTTCAGAACTTTTATTTCTGATTACCTCGATGGGAGGTTTCTGATGATCGACGATTATTCGCCGATTTTATGTTCCCGTCGCTTTTTGAGGAGGGAACTTGTTTAGTGGTTTCATTTGGTCTGAGAAATAGTTTTTTCTGTCACGATCTTGAGCTATTTTCTACTCACTCCTTACTCCTATCCACATCGGCTCCACGACTTTTGCTCCGGTTTAACCTGCCCAAAAAGCTACCAATAACCGTCTTCTTCGGTTTACCTCTAGCTTCTCTATCCGTCATGGTGCTAAATACTAGAATTGTTAGATTCGGGGGAAAAGTTATGCGTCAAGTTGAAAGTATAATAGATTCTCGAAAAGAAACTAGAAGAGATCCGAAAAGAAAAATGTAGAAAAGATGAAGTGGGGCTATAAAGTGTTTTTATTACCGTGTCTTACACTACTTGTCTCCACCAATAAGCGAAACTCAAGCAGGAAAACAATATAAAAAAGGAGCACAGAAACAAAAAAAAATAGAAGAACAGAATGCCGGTGGCAGATGAATTGGCATAATAAAATATTGAAAGGGGAAAGCAACAATTGAGTGACATCAAAACATTCGGAGCGAACTCGATTATATGGATAAAAACAAATGGGATAGAAGAGATAAGACAAATGTACACATTTGAGGTTCAGGAAAAGGAGTTCGACGTTTTGTATGCTTTTGTGTTTGGAGGGAAAGAGAATGGGATGAATGAGTGAGGGACGAACATAAATGAACAAGTTTTGCATTTTAAATTAGGTGACCTGTCATAAAAGCGTGGGAATAATGGTAGAACTTGGTTCCTGAATACGAGAAATATAGTGGAAAGAATATGGAATGGAAAATAAATTTAAGTATACATGGGTTCGAAATGAAATGACACATTTAGTCGCTGTCAGATGAGGAGGACTCGTCATCCTTTCCATTCTTCTCCTCGTCATCTTCTTCTACTTTCGGTTTCTTGGCTGATGGGCCTTCAGTAGCATCGTCTTCGTCGGATTCGTCGTCTTTTACTTCTTCTTTAAGCCTCTGTCTTTCCTAGAAACATTTTAGATTACCTAATGTAACATAGAGAAAATACTTACCAGCCATTCGCTTCTTCTCTTCTTCATTTCAGCTTCAGCTTCTTCCCTCATATCTGGAGCCATATCACTTGTACCGATGATGTGTTTTGTGAGGAACTTGGCCATTCCAAACCCCTTGAAACGATTCTTGTTGAAAATCGAGCGCATTACATCGTCACAAATAATAAACTGTCCGTTTTTGGGATCCTTCAGGTTGTTAGCTTTGATATAATCCCATAAAACTTTCACGACGTCGCATCGTTTCATCCATTGATCTTTAGTGATTTGTTGCAGCTCGGTGCTGATATAACAGAGTTTCGTCATTGGACCGAACTTTCCAGACATGTCAGCATTCGGATCCTTGACTTTGGTTGACTTTTTAACAAATCTACCTCCAGCCGAGGTACGAATCGACTTTAAGGCATCAGAAGCAGCAGCCCGCCTTGTTGACTTGATGTTCGAGGCCATATCTGTCTCCTCTTTTGAAGCTCTCTTTTTCGGAACAACAGGGTCATCAACTTCGTCATCATCACTTTCGTCCTTTACTTCTTTCTTAACATCCTTTGTTTCCTTTTTATCTTCGCCGTCGCTATCATCTCCACTCTCATCAGAACTGTCAGAACTTTCATCTTCCTGGTTTTTTTTTGCAATTTCCGCAAGAACCATTTTCTTCAGTTGTGATTTGAATGAGTCGAAACTGGTGTTGAAGCGGTTCTGAATATTAGAAATAAAACGAATTTTAAAGTTCAGTCACTCACATTCATGTGTCTAATAATATCTACGATGGTCAAATCATTGAAGCCAGGCTTGCGAACCAAAAGAGCAATCTCCTCCTCAGCAACCTGAAAATAAATTTGGTAAACATGTTCTTGATTTCATTTGATTACCTCCTTGTCCATCGGGAAAGGAGAAATCGGATCCACAACAGCCATGATGACGAGACTTTTCTTCAAGTTTGATTTGACCTGAAAGCGATCTGAAAGTTAGTAAAAATCGATAATACATAGGCTAATGAGGTAATTAATTTAGAGAAGAGCATGTGCTTTATGTAATTTATGATTTCATATCAAATTAGTTGTGGAAATATTCTAATGATTAAGAAGATTGAAATTTTGAGAGTAGGCTTGAAATTTCTTCACAATTTTCAAAGGCCCGCCTTCAGAACGCGTCACAGAGCTACATTAACGGGAAAGCTACGGTCAATCACAATGCGTGCACTGTGTTTGCGGACTTGCGTACCGTACCTGGATATTATAATGCTCCGCATAAAGTGAGCAAAGAGACACGATTCCGAGGGAAATCNANNGCGGAGTTACTTTGGAACTGCCGCACGGTTCAACTGCGACACTGCAAAAGTTGAAACTCCGCCCCGATTTCCTCGGAATCGGTTCCTCGGATACAACCCCTTCCTCGGAATCGGTGGAGTGTCAGCAAAGAGCTACATTTTTCAAATGAACAACAGTTCATTTGGTTAGGTTTCACTTCAAATTTAATTTTTTGGTCGTTTTAAATATTTTAAAACAAGACTTCTCGCTAAGAATAGTCTCAATAAATCTCCAAACGAAAATTCTTTCGGGATACTGTAGAATATCTTTGCGAGACTATTTCAATTACCGTAGGTAATTAAAGGGACACATAGTTCTCCAATTTTTGCAACAGTAATCAGAATAGTCTCGTAACGATTTCGAAATTCTGAACTTTTGGTTTCTCTTTCATTGCGAAACTCGGCGCAATAAGCACTTTATCGTCGAAATTCGTTGATTCCATTTTGTTACATTGTTCTCTATTTGGTTACAGCACTAACGTAACTTCATTCCAGATGTCAAAAGTCGAAGGCCTGGGAACAATTGTGCAAGAAACTCCCAGTCCGCTGAAACCGGTGGGATTCACGCCGACTGCAACTGGAGGGAAGTTCGGTGCAGCTTCTGCGTAAGTTACTTGTCAAAATTCCGAACTAATAAAACACTTCCTCTTTTAGTATCAAATCAACTCCCAAAAAGCAACAACCGTACATCAACAAATCTCAGTATAGTCCTCAAGTTAATAAGAATCCAAGAAAAATTTTCGCCGAATACATTTCAAAAGAGGACTCTGATGCAGGCATCAAGGATAGTTCTATGTTCCGTGCTGTTTTAAGGATAAATCCTAAAAACTACCAAGAATGTTTTTTGGATCATCCAAAAGGTTCATCGTACCCTGACGTTCTAGTTCTTGGCCAAGATCGTAATAGAGCGATGCAAGGAGACGTAGTAATTGTGAAACTGAAACCGAAGGAAGAGTGGCTGGTAAGACTTATTTTGAACTTTCAGAGAATCATCCACTTTCTTTCAGGTTAACTACGTGGAGTATGTGAAGTGGTGGGGACAGAATAAAACGGAAACAAGAAATCTGGGAAAAACAGACAATAATACAAATAAGTCTGAGAAAAGATGTCTTCGTGATGAGATCAATGATAACGGAGTGGGAGTTGATGAAGTACCAGAAAATTGCTTGATTACTGTCGGAGCCATCGTCAGAATCGACGAGAAGAAGCATTTCCGAGTGGCAGCAGGAAAACTTCAACAGATGCCGAACGCTGCGAATCCGAATGTTCTGTTTGTTGCCACCGACTCCAGAGTTCCCAGAATTTTGATTCCAAAATCTGAAGTGGATCAGGAGTTCTTCTCTCGGCCGAAAGATTTCGAAAGGTTCCTGTACACTGCACAAATTCTCGACTGGCGAGCTGATTCGATTTACGCTGATGGAAAGCTTATCAAGCTGTTAGGAATGTCAGGAGAAATCGAAACGGAACCGAAAAAATCCTTTTCGAGCATCAAATCGATCATAGCGATTTCAGTGATGAGTGCATTGCATCTCTCCCTCTCACCACCGCGGAAGCATGGAAGATTCCAGATTCAGAATTCAATTATCGTCGTGACTTCCGAGATGATATCGTTTTCACAATCGACCCAAAAACCGCTCGAGATCTTGACGATGCTCTTCATGCGAAACATATTGACGATTGTGATGGGAAAGGAACTCCAGGAATCGAAGTCGGTGTACACATTGCCGATGTTTCTTACTTCCTTAAAGAAGGAACTGAACTTGATAAATGGGCATCTCAACGTGGAAACAGTACATATCTCTCACAAATTGTGATTCCTATGCTTCCCCGAATTCTTTGCGAACAGCTTTGTTCTCTCAATTCCGGAGTGGATCGTCTCGCGTTCTCAACAGTGTTCAAGATGAATTATGAAGCAGAGCTCAAGGATGTTTGGTTCGGACGGTCGATAATCCGATCCCGCGTAAAACTGGCCTACGAGCACGCTCAAGACTTCATTGAGAACCCAGAAAAAGACTTCACCGCTGACGAACTACCCGAAATTTCCGACGGAAATATGCCATCAGAAATCAAAGAAAAAACGTTGATGCTTCATAGAATTGCGCAGCTTCTGAGACAAAAAAGAGAGGATTCAGGAGCATTGCGTATTGAGCTACCAAAGCTGAAGTTTGTGATGGACGAGGAGAAAAGACCGCAAGGAGTATCGATATATGAAGTGATTTTTGTAGTTGTCTGCCATAAAATGAATTTATAATATTGCAGGTAAAAGACTCGAACAAGCTAGTGGAAGAGTTTATGCTTCTGGCAAACATGGAAGTTGCCAAGAAGATTGCAACTCATTTCCCAGATACCGCTTTACTTAGAAACCACCCGCCACCTAAAGAGAAAATGATAGAGGATGCTGTGGAACAGTGCAAAAGAATTGGATTCCAACTGGATGGAAAGACTTCTGCTATGATATCAACCTCACTTCGGAAGTATCAGGGAAAATCTCGTCTCGATATGTGCATCCGCCAAGTTATCTCCTCATTAACCATCAAACCAATGCAGCAAGCGAAGTACTTCTGTACGTATGGAAAGGATTTGGAGGTCTACCATCATTACGCGTTGAATGTGGACCACTACACTCATTTCACATCACCAATTCGACGTTATCCGGATGTCATTGTTCATCGCCAGTTGGCTGCTTCACTAGGTTATGAGGAAAAGAGTGAGCGAAAGCCTAAAGAGATAAAAGATATAGTAAGGAGTTAAGATTGATTGATTATGTTTAAAATTATATAATTCAGTGCATCCGTTGTAACGATACCAAGCAAGCATCCAAAGAGGCATCTGAAGAGTCTGCGATGCTTTATTTTGGAGTTTTTATCCATTCAACGGGTAAAATGAATTGCCAAGCTGTCGTTCTTGGAATAATGGACCTTTCATTCGACGTGCTTATTGTCGACTATGGTGTTGTAAAGAGAGTTTATGTTGATGTAAGCTCAATGTCACTTTTTATTCTTCATCAACTTTCGTTATTCCAGAAAATGAAGAGAGAGTACGTTAAGCAGGATGAGCAATTAGTCCTATACTGGCCAGCTGATCCAAATGCCGAAAATGGAAACAAGGAAGAATTCTCGACTGTAATTCAAATGTGCAGTGTTGTTACTGTACTTCTGGTGCCTGTGAAAGAGGTCGAGGTCTCCGCAATAATGATTCGTCCAACTCTTGATAAACGCAAAGTTCTCGAATCCACACTCAAGGATATGAAGTCTACGGGCTCTACATTCTTGATTAGCGCTCGCTCTCGATTTACATGCATTTATCTCTTTTGTTTCCGGTTAATATTGTTTTTTTTTCAGCTTTCAATCACTTTTATTAATATCTGTCTCATTCTGACCCGATTTATACAAAAAAAGAAAATATTTCAAAAAAAAAACGAAAGGAAAATAAGAATCAAATAACTTCAAACAAAGGGATGGGTGGGCAGTGGGTATCATACTGATCGGCACGCCAGTCCTGAAACTCGTGGAGATGCATATCATCGTGGTCATGAACTTCAGAGAGGACCACGATAGCGAAATTGAGACAGCTCAGTCTGAATGCCGGTATTGCAGGCTGGTTTTGAGCGACGTTGCTGAGATGAATCCATTGATCTTTAGTGATTTGTTGCAACTCGGTGCTGATGTAGCAGAGTTTTGTCATTGAACCGAACTTTCCAGACATGTCAGCATTTGGATCCTTGACTTTAGTTGATTTTTTAACAAATCTACCACCGGCCGAGGTACGAATCGATTTCAAGAGTAGTATAGGAACGAGGGATTATAATACCGTTTTCGACATTTCAGTCATTTCAACACATTTTCACTCTCTGAGAGCAGAGAGTCACCTCATTTACAACACTTTTTTCTCGAAAATGAGAAAATGAGTCATTTTTGGAGAACTAAAAAGTGCTTATTTTCAATAATTTTTATGCATTTTCGACCAATTTTTTGCTTGGATGTTGATTTTATTTTCTATTTCTCATTTTCATGCTTAAATACTCGAAAATGTGTCATTTTCACACTTTTTAGAAAATCAGTGGATGTCGAAAGATGTCGATTTTATTGAAAAAGTGGTATCGTCATTTTTTCAATAAAATTAATGTTCAATAAATGGTGAAGCTCAATAAAAATCTGCAACCTTTAACCAATCTTGATCTCTTAGAATTAGTAGACTCTTTGGAAATCAAGAACTTCCGTGGTGTTTTTATGCGAGATACTTTGCTATCTAAAATAAATGAAATTGAAGTAGGTATAGTAAATTTAGATTCTTCAAAAGCTAAAGGTACTCATTGGATTTGTTATTCTAAAAATAAAGGAAAGATTTATTACCTCGATTCTTTTGGATTGAATCCACCAGAAGAAATCATAACATTTCTCAAAGATAGAAAATATAGAAAAATAGAAATACAAATACATGAAGTAAATACATAAATAAATACATGTTAAATAAATGTGAATACATAAAGAATCCTAGAGAAACTTTTTATTCCCTGCAGACGCGAATACAATCGTCCACATTTTGGGAGACGGATTCGAAGTAACGGGAATATCTTTCGCTTGCCATACAAGAAATATTTCTTTTTTTAGGCAGCTCTTTGGTGGAATTGAATGATTCGTTGGTTTCGAGAATTGCGTTTTGAAGGTTCCAGTCTTTTAGAATTTCTTCAAGTACTTTTAGCTTTGCTGGTTGCTGTTTGTAGCTTCTCCATACATCACAATTCTTTGAGTTGAACGAATAGCCGGAGATCTGAAAGTTATGAAGTTTCTCAATATATACCAAACTAAACATACTCGGAAATCTATAATGGAAAGATTTCCATTCGAATCGAGACCATAATTATCCCCATGCAAATCGCTGACGTTGAACAACCTTATGATCAAATCCAGCATGATTTCCGCCTTCAAAGGAAGGTTTATCACGTGTGATGAGTTAAAGTTGGCCACTAAATACTTGTTTTAAACTTATAAGAGCTATATATACCTTATAGCTCTACCTTCCAAAGTTGCGATATAGACACCAATAGATGACGTATGAAGATTGGGAACAATATGGACAGCCGGTCCAACACCAATTTGAAACAATAACCGGTAGATGAAAAGCTCCCTCAAATCCACATTTTGACGTGATGACATTGCAGAATGACCTTTCACATAAAACCGTTGAATAGTTTCACCACAGTTTACCTTGCAAATGAATCCGGCCTAGGAAAAATACGAGTATTCATATTATAAATTTAACATACCTGAATGCCTTGTACTGGCTTTTCCGAGTAGCTAAATGATAATGTTGGATTAGCTGGATTCTTCTCGAGTAGGGCAGTAAAATAACGCTCAACTGCCTGCTTGATGGATCCGTCAACATCGTCCAGAAATCGGGAGAATTCCCGATTAAACTTGATCTGCCGAATAGCAAAATCCGCGTATGTTGCAAAAAATCCATCCTTGTATAACCGCTGTAAAATTTTCGATGCTCCAATCACTTGCTTTTTCTTGGTTTCATGTGGAGTATGGGGTGGAATATTTGAAGCGATCAGGAAGACAATGCGGCAATGAAGAATGACTCTGAAACAAGTCACTAATAAAATTCAATTTACAAAACTAGATATATAATTAGAGCATGTTTACTCCTTATCTATGGTTGTAATTGATGAGAAACATAACTAATAATATAAAAATAGAATAACTAGAATCATCTGTGTTTCTAAAATGCACCATTAGTCATAGGCTTATATTTAATTTCGTGCAACAACAATTTTAAATAAAACTGTTATAAAATTCAATAGCTGTATTTAGAAGAATTGCTTAACACTTTTTTGAATCTCAAAAAAAAGTCATGAGCTTATATTTACTATGTGCAATAACAATTTTAAATAAAACTATGATAATAAAAAGTATGAACAGTAAATTCTAAAATGTAAAAATTCAATTTACCACAACGAGTTCCTCGCCACACCTGATGTCGAGAATGGGACGTTCAACCACGTGAAGATCTTCACCACGGAATCGGAGTTCTTGGAAGTCGGGATGAATCTTCGTAAAAGTCTCAATACGCTTCTTTAGGTCAACAAAAGGAATCTGAAAATATACAAATAAAATATGTTAATAGGAATAAATTATTGAAGTAAAACCTTATTATCCACTTCGATACCCTTGAACAAACGATCGTCGTTTTCTCCAACCAATCGAATTGTGATCGCAGTCATGTCTGAAATCAAAGAATAATGGAAAAAGTAACGTCATGTAAAATCACGAAGTCAATGCAAACTACGGAAGAAAAGTGAGTCTCTTTTTCTATTCACAAAGGTTTATGGAAGAATGCGATGCTGACTGTCTCTCGCTTTCCTCTGCGTCTCTGCTCACGTGTCACTCTCATCACCCTTCCACTCTAGCCCAACGCGTTTGCGTGTTGCGTCGCGTGCGCACGTGGGTTCAGGCGAGGGGGTCAGAAAGCGCGCCCCAGTAATTTTTTCGAAAATTCTCAATTGGCTGCTGAGAGTTCGTTGACTGACAATCATACTTTAATGCATTAGGACGAGAAGACAAATATTTTTTTTTCAATATTTTTCGATGATTTCTTTCGTTTTCGCTCGTTTTTTACCCTTTTTTCAGTGAAAATTAGTTGAAAAAAGTTTCAACTTATTTATTAAGGTGAGAAGTCCAATGCAACCGCCTCGTGCAGTGATGAGTCAAGTGAGCGAATGGAAAAAGCTCGATTTTCGACGTTTTTTTGAGGTGAGTAACTGAAATATGTAATGTTCCAATATTTATTGATTTTCTAGGCTCGAGCCATCGCTCCGTCAGCTCGCCCAGAAGTACAACTGCGACAAGTAGATCTGGAGAAAGTGCTACGATCGTTTCCCACCACATGTCAGCAACTGCAGAAAAAAGAAGTGCGGACACTCGAACGATATTCGCATCAAGAAGAAGTTGAAGTAATCTTCATTAGCCTTCGTCCATCGGTTGCCGAAGACTGTCCGTCTCTACGCTAACATGATGCAGTACTTCCAGTACAGAAGAAGCTATTATAACCCTGACATAACATTTAGATAAAATCTGTAGGAATACTATCTCATATATATTTCGGATGTCATGTCCTTAGGTGATATTAAATGCATTGAGGTTTTTCCATAATTATTAATTCTTTATTAGAGGTTATTCAATAATTCGTTCTATTTTCAGAGCAACCAGAATCCGCATCCGATTGCGAAGACAACAACGACACGAGCTGTGCACATGAGAAGTCGGATGGATCATCGTGAGAAGTCGCATGGATCAATTGGGTTTAATAATAATTGTTATCTCTCTTGTTATATGTCATGAATCTCAATAAATGGTCATATATTGCCTTCCCCTTCCTCGGAAAATTTAGGGAGAACAGCAACATAAATGGAGCAGTATTCACCGAAAAAAAAACGAATTCATAGCCTTCTGTATCGTTAAAAAACATTAGAAATAACCACGTGAAATCCACGTGTCATTTTGAATTAGATAATTTCGGCTGGCCTACGAGTTAGCTGGGGCGAGCTTTCTGACCCCCTCGCCTGAACCCACGTGCGTGCGCCTAGTTTAACTGTGGCAAATGTGTGATTGTGCTCGGTCACAGTGGGGAAGAGAAAAGAAGGTCACACAAAGAGAAAGGGAACACTGCTGACCTTTATACGTCACACCAAAGGATCTGAAAGACATTCAGCGAAAGCAAGCTTCCTTGAAACTTCTCGAAGATACGAAGATACATACTCCTTGAAACTTCTCGAAGATACAAGTATGAAAGAACGAAGTGTATCATTTGAGAACGATTTACGTCGCAGAGTTTTTCAGTTTTTGTGTTGTTATTTCATTTTGAAGATGTTTTTTCAAGCGAAGCAATATTTTCTTATAAGATGGAGGATGCTTTTCGTGTCATGAAATCTCTACTTCTCCATAGAAATTGTAAAAGTGAACAGAAAGAGCTGGTAAGTCGTTTTTTTTTTGTATGATACACTAGATTATTCTTTATTTGCAGGTTTTACTACAGCATCAATTTAACGAAATTGATGAATCTCTTCGATCAGTGAGAGATGTGTTCAATAACAAGAGGTTTTATTATGTTTAACGAGAAGGAAGATTCAACGAACTACTAAAGGTGAGTAATGAACGTCTTCAGAATAACAACAAAGAATTTAAATGAATAAGATATATTTCAGCAGGAAATATTGAATGAGCAATCGAAATTCTGAGAAAAAAAGTGTATGTAACGACTTGAAGAATCTTTTCCGGAAGGGGAGGAAGTGAATAATCATTTGATTTTGCTAAACTTTTTAATTGCTAAACTCGCTCATTTGCTAAAATAGTCTCACTTGCTAAATTTCATTTGCTAAATTTTGATCATTTGCTAAATAGAGGATTTGTTCAAATTGAAGGCTTACAAGGGAACCATGTTTAGCCTTCATCTCAGAATTTTTTCTAAATTTGCTCATTTATAGTTTCAAATACGGGCTTTCTCGTGGTGTATTCAGTTTTCTGCACAAATTCCTAACAGTCGAGTTATGGGCTGTTTAAGTGATTTCAGTACTAATTTCTCACTTTTGGAGTGAGTTTTTGAAAGGGTTAATGGGAGTTTTTTGGCATTGTTTGAGTGGCAATTGCAATTTTAAAGATTTCTCTACAATCTGACAAAGTTTCCTCTTTTTTCAAAAAAAAAAATTTTTTTAAATTTTTACCATGGGTATGGTTTGAGTATGGGTTGGTTTTGGTTTGGGCATGGGTATGGTGGTTTGCCATGCCCTTTGCGAAATTTTCAATTTTTCGAAAATTTTTTTAATGTGCTAAAATGAATTCTAAACGCATACAAATGATAAAATGAGTCTATTCACAAGATTCTGTAGCCTATATCCGTTTGAAATCCGAAATAAGTGATTTCTTCCAAAACTCCAATGAATCGTAGTCTTTCGAAAATCACCCAGTAGCACTCAAATATTGTGAAAACATAGATTTACATACTTCTTGACTGATTTATAACAGTTCCGCAACCAATATGATCAAATAGAAGAAATTCGACTGACATTTTGAGTAGATAAGGCTTTTCAGCAGTGCTTCAAGAATTTTTCAGAAATTATAGTAGTATACAAATGGTTGTCACTGGACGGTCATTTTGCCCAAATGACGTTTTTTGCACTTTTTAGCTATTTTAACGCTTATTTTCATCAGAAAAGTGTCTAAGCTCATCGAAAATCAGTCATTTTTGAAAAACGGCACTTTTTAGGCTGGACGTAGAAGTGTCCATTTTGCCCATCCTCAATTTTCTCATTTTTAAGCCATTTTAAGGCTTTTTTTTAACATAAACAAGTCTTACTTCTTCAAAAATGTGTCATTTTCAACAATTTTCAAAAATGGGGAAATGGTCGAAAAGGTGCGCTATAAAAAAATGTGGTCGAAATGGTCGAAATATTGCGCTAACAACTTTGAAGAAAAATAATGCTCAATAAATGCATTTTAATAAATCTGGAGGATCTGAGAATCTAAGATTCGATAAAGACCTGAAGCCATTAACCAACCTAGATCTTGAAGAGCTTGTAAATGTACTAAAAATCAAAAATTTTCGAGAAATTTTTATGATAAACACAGAAATACCCTACACTCATAAGCAGCGACTCGATTCTTCCGGAGAATGTGAGTGGGAATGAAATGTTAGAAGAACGGGGTGATGGTGATGGGGATGGTGTTGAGATTGGATTATTCGATAATTATTCAACAACAAAAAAATCATAAATTATGAATTTGAATTATCTTTTCTCGAACAATAGTGATATATTCTTTCAGAGCCTCTGTTCCTTTGTTAAATAATAAATCTGATCGACGGAAGACTTCCTTATCTTCGTCCAGCTTTGCAAGTGCTACATCCAACTTCAAACTAATTCCAGATTGAACAATAAACTCCTTTCCAATACTGAGCTGTTCCTCGTACGTCATTCCCTAAAAGCAAAGATTCATGATTTTCATCAATGCAAACATACAAACCTTAACCAAATCCAAAAATCGTCTTAAATTCATTTTCAGCTGGGCGACCAAACTCAACGCGGTTTTTGGACGATTGATCTCTTCGAATCCAATCGAGCTATCAATGAATTCTGTTCGGAAATCCACAATATATAAGGAAGAAGTGTTTTCGATGAATCCAATATTTTCGGCATTCAGATCACCTAATCCGAGAATTTGAGCCAGCAAAGATATCTGGATAATGGCTTTCGAAATTTCTTCTTTCTGCTTGACAATTTTACATTCATAATTATCCCTAAACACACACCAGTTGGAAAAAAATAAATTGAAAGTCAAAATCAATCATAATATTTTAAAAGCACTTACCACTCTTTCTCCAGCATCGCCAAAGTTCTGAATCCAGAAACCTCTTCGCCACAAATATATACGATTTTGTTTGATGAAACCAGATTTGGGATGAAATCAATCACGGCTCCAATATTCATTACCTCCAAAAGTTTGTATATGAACAATTCGATCATGTTTAAAGGTCCACGGTGAGTAACTAAATTTTAAATCTTGTTGATTGATTCACTGCAATGAGCTTACATGAAATACTAGATGCGTTGTGATTCGTCTTAATGTAAAACACGCGACGACATGCATCAAAACTAACAATACACATAGCACCAGACCGACTACCTAAATATTTTTAAAATCAAAATCAATAATAAATAAACTCAACATACCAGAGGGCTTATCCTTGAAATCGACATCGATCAATTTATCGTTAAACTTGCGCGTGAAGAACGTTTTGGCTGCTTATTTGATAAAATCCGGAACATTGTCCAGAAAAACGGCATACTCCTCTCGCATACGGAGCCAATCCGAATAGAATGTCGCATAAGCAGAGAAAAACTTCACATCGTATAATTGTTTCGCTTGCTCATTAGCTTCAACGACTCTTTTCTGCCTTGAACGATTTTCCTTGGCTTCACGAAACTTTTGCACTATCGTTAAGTAATTCTTCCATTGAAGAAGGGATGTGTGTTTCTGAAACAATAATAATTTATAAGGCAGTCTATATGTCATAAATAAAATTATACATCCTAACAATAAAAAGTAAATCCTAATATAAAAATTCAACTTACCACAACGAGTTCCTCGCCAAACTTGATGTCTTGAAGAGGACGCTCAACATCGGGTAGCTCATCACCACGGAATCGGAGTTCTTGGAAGTCGGGATGAATCTTCGTAAAAGTCTCAATACGCTTCTTTAGGTCAACATAAGGAATCTGAAAATATACAAATAAAATATGTTAATAGGAATAAATTATCGAAGTAAAACCTTATTATCCACTTCGATACCCTTGAACAAACGATCGTCGTTTTCTCCAACCAATCGAATTGTGATAGCAGTCATGTCTGAAATCAAAAAATTAATGGAAAAAGTAACGTCATGTAAAATCACGAAGTCAATGCAAACTACGGAAGAAAAGTGAGTCTCTTTTTCTATTATGCTTGTCTGAGAAAAAAAGGTTGAGACGCAGAGAAAAAGTGTCTGCGTCTCCACTTAATATGTGCTATTAGGCTCTCCGCTTCGATATCGCTACCGTATTCAGACTGCAAAAAATACTCTCTAACCTTTTTTTCTCAGACAAGCATAATATTCACAAAGGTTTATGGAAGAATGCGATGCTGACTGTCTCTCGCTTTCCTCTGCGTCTCTGCTCACGTGTCACTCTCATCACCCTTCCACTCTAGCCCAACGCGTTTGCGTGTTGCGTCGCGTGCGCACGTGGGTTCAGGCGAGGGGGTCAAAAAGCGCGCCCCAGTAATTTTTTCGAAAATTCTCAATTGGCTGCTGAGAGTTCGGTGACTGACAATCATACTTTAATGCATTAGGACGAGAAGACAAATATTTTTTTTTCAATATTTTTCGATGATTTCTTTCGTTTTCGCTCGTTTTTTACCCTTTTTTCAGTGAAAATTAGTTGAAAAAAGTTTCAACTTATTTATTAAGGTGAGAAGTCCAATGCAACCGCCTCGTGCAGTGATGAGTCAAGTGAGCGAATGGAAGAAAGCTCGATTTTCGACGTTTTTTTGAGGTGAGTAACTGAAATATGTAATGTTCCAATATTTATTGATTTTCTAGGCTCGAGCCATCGCTCCGTCAGCTCGCCCAGAAGTACAACTGCGACAAGTAGATCTGGAGAAAGTGCTACGATCGTTTCCCACCACATGTCAGCAACTGCAGAAAAAAGAAGTGCGGACACTCGAACGATATTCGCATCAAGAAGAAGTTGAAGTAATCTTCATTAGCCTTCGTCCATCGGTTGCCGAAGACTGTCCGTCTCTACGCTAACATGATGCAGTACTTCCAGTACAGAAGAAGCTATTATAACCCTGACATAACATTTAGATAAAATCTGTAGGAATACTATCTCATATATATTTCGGATGTCATGTCCTTAGGTGATATTAAATGCATTGAGGTTTTTCCATAATGGCTAATTCTTTATTAGAGGTTATTCAATAATTCGTTCTATTTTCAGAGCAACCAGAATCCGGCATCCGATTGCGAAGACAACAACGACACGAGCTGTGCACATGAGAAGTCGGATGGATCATCGTGAGAAGTCGCATGGATCAATTGGGTTTAATAATAATTGTTATCTCTCTTGTTATATGTCATGAATCTCAATAAATGGTCATATATTGCCTTCCCCTTCCTCGGAAAATTTAGGGAGAACAGCAACATAAATGGAGCAGTATTCACCGAAAAAAAAAACGAATTCATAGCCTTCTGTATCGTTAAAAAACATTAGAAATAACCACGTGAAATCCACGTGTCATTTTGAATTAGATAATTTCGGCTGGCCTACGAGTTAGCTGGGGCGAGCTTTCTGACCCCCTCGCCTGAACCCACGTGCGTGCGCCTAGTTTAACTGTGGCAAATGTGTGATTGTGCTCGGTCACAGTGGGGAAGAGAAAAGAAGGTCACACAAAGAGAAAGGGAACACTGCTGACCTTTATACGTCACACCAAAGGATCTGAAAGACATTCAGCGAAAGCAAGCTTCCTTGAAACTTCTCGAAGATACGAAGATACATACTCCTTGAAACTTCTCGAAGATACAGGTATGAAAGAACGAAGTGTATCATTTGAGAACGATTTACGTCGCAGAGTTTTTCAGTTTTTGTGTTGTTATTTCATTTTGAAGATGTTTTTTCAAGCGAAGCAATATTTTCTTATAAGATGGAGGATGCTTTTCGTGTCATGAAATCTCTACTTCTCCATAGAAATTGTAAAAGTGAACAGAAAGAGCTGGTAAGTCGTTTTTTTTTGTATGATACACTAGATTATTCTTTATTTGCAGGTTTTACTACAGCATCAATTTAACGAAATTGATGAATCTCTTCGATCAGTGAGAGATGTGTTCAATAACAAGAGGTTTTATTATGTTTAACGAGAAGGAAGATTCAACGAACTACTAAAGGTGAGTAATGAACGTCTTCAGAATAACAATAAAGAATTTAAATGAATAAGATATATTTCAGCAGGAAATATTGAATGAGCAATCGAAATTCTGAGAAAAAAAGTGTATGTAACGACTTGAAGAATCTTTTCCGGAAGGGGAGAAAGTGAATAATCATTTGATTGTTGTTGTTAATTCTTTGTTATTTCATGTTTGTTGTTATTTCATCTTCTTGTTTTATTTTGAAAAACAAATATCTTGTTTGATTGAAGCCAAGTGAAAAAGTTAATACCTCAGGTGAGGTAGCCATGTTTGGGGTTCATGGCTATGTGGAAGTGAATTCACTTTCTAGTGAAGACATCCATTTTCACTGAACGTCCCCCATTTCACAAAATCAAATAAGATATTTGTAGCCAAACAATTTTAACTTCTAAATTATGGAATTAGTATACTGTTTCAAATGTAAAAAATATACTGATACTACTGAAATATTTAATGTTGAAACAAGCTCAAAACGTTCTATGATAAAAGGGTTATGCCAAGCTTGTAAAACAATGAAGTGTAAGCTAATTCCAACAATCACAGGAGGTTCTGGATTAGAAGATATCAAGGAGGTTGAAATTAGTGAAAAATCTAAAATTCTTAGACAACCCACAAGTTCTGAAGGTGAAAGAGATCTTTTAGAAAAAGCTTATTATTCTCCTAAAACAGGATTTTGTGGTATCAATGAGTTAGCAAGAATAACAAAGAAGCCTATCAAAGATGTCAAAGAGTTCCTGAATGAACAAGATGTTTACACTCTACACAAACCAGCTAGGAAGAACTTCAAGAGTCAAGGAGTTTACTTCAGTGGAATAGATGATCAGTGGCAGTCAGATCTCGTAGAAATGATTCCCTACGCGGAAGAAAATAAAGGATTTAGATATCTCTTGACTATCATTGATTGTTTTTCGAAATTTGCATGGGTAGTACCATTAAAAAGTAAGACAGGTAAAGAAACTGCAGATGCTTTAGAATCTATATTTAAAGAAAGAAAACCCAAAAAGATGCAAACTGATAATGGTAAAGAGTATTATAATAAAGAAATGAATAAATTATTCAAATCATTAGAAATCAATCACTTTTAAACTTATTCAGATAAAAAAGCTTCAATAGTTGAAAGATTTAATAGGACTTTGAAAGAGAAAATGTGGAAAATGTTTACTCATCAAGGAAATCATAAATGGATAGACATTCTTGATGACCTTGTAAAGGGATATAATAATCATTTTCACTCTAGCATTAAAATGTCTCCCATGCAGGCTTCAAAAATAGAAAATCAAAGTATTGTTTACAACAATCTTTTTCCTAAAGAAATTGAAAAGGAAGAAATTCAAAAAGATTCAAAGGCTTTAGACAAAGCGAAATTCAAAATAGGTGATACTGTCAGAATTACAAAATATAAAGCTATTTTTGATAAAGGATATCTACCAAATTGGAGTACAGAGCAATTTAAGATTTCTGAAGTTCTAATAGGTGATCCAATTATGTATTCAATAAAAGATTTAGCAGATGAGGAAATTAAAGGAAAGTTTTACTCTCAGGAACTTACACTTTATAATAATGTCAAAGAAGAATATAAAATAGAAAAAGTTCTGCGGAAAAGAAATAGAAAGGAAAACGGTAAGATGGTAAAAGAAATATTTGTCAAGTGGTATGGATATCCAGACATATTTCTTGGATTCTTGAAGAAGACTTAAATGCAATTATTTAAATAATCTAGTTTGATTCTTCAAACGCTTAAAACCTTAACTCTATTATCCTTGACTTCAACTACATTCTCTGAAAGAATGAGGCAATAACATTTAGTACTTTGAGCAATGTTTTTACCAAAGGAAGCTTTTATTGTAACATCTGGTCTAGATGCAATAATTCTATCATTCTGTTTTGATACATCAAATACTAAAAGTGGATAATAATAATACACATCTTCTTCCATGAAAATGTAATCCTTGATGCTTTCGTAATAACTATTTCTGAATTCTTTAGCAAAATTGTATTGTTGAACCGCATTAAATTTATCGAAACCAAATTTTAGACATTCATATGGATATCTTTCGCTATTGAGTTCAACATAAATTTCTTCAAGTCCACAATTATCGAATTTTGCAGCATTCAGATAATTGTTATCTCTAGCAGTTTGAAAAGAGATAATGAGGTATTTTATTTTATCATATTTAGTTCCAAGTTTCCAAGTAGCTTCACGATTACCATTAGGGATATTATAACTCTCAAACTGACGAGATATAAAAGGCATTTGAATTAATTTATTACTTTCGAAGACATTCAAAAGTTTATTTTGCATTTCAAGACTAGGCATAATTTTAGGAATTATCCATTGAAGTTTATTGATAGTCATTTTAGCTGTAAATTTAGTCGGATCTGAAGAAACACAAGAATTCTTGTTTTCTGGAGATCTGTATAACGAAAGTTGATGCTTTCTTCCATAAATTATTCGATTGTAACATTCAGCAAATCCGAAAATATGAGTCAGTGGAATGCAAAATGTTAAAGATCCTTTTCTATTCTTAGTGTATTTATTTATTTTATAGCTCATTATTTCCTTAGTCTCAAGGATCCAACCAAAAGTATTCTGTTTATTCATTGTTGAACTATAAGTTAAAAGTCCTTTCATCAAACTAGCTCTTCCAGGATCTATAACATTTTCAACTTGCATACCATCCATACTATAAGTTGCTCTATCAAATAAGAACATAGGACCATTGTTTGTTAATGATACTTCATCAATATCTACCAATTGAGAATTGTCTAATTTAGTCAATGAAGCTTCTAAATATATATGAGATTTATGAAGTAATAGATATTGATCACAGGTTTCAATTATAAAATTTATTTCACCATGTTGATTTAAACTAGAACCAGATGAAGGAAATATGCTAATCAAATTTTCTTTTTGAATTGAAGTATCTTGAATAATTGGATTGTCAACTATGAGAATTCTGTCAATTGCTTCTACCATTTTTATTTTTTTATTTATTTAAAATATTTTTTTGTAATAATAAATGAATCTATTGCAGTTCTATTTCTTTTTAGCATTTACTCATTATGATATCCTTGCAAGTGCCACTATCATTTGTACTTCTAGTGCACCAGTTCAATATTTCAAACTTCCGAAACTACACAAATGTAATTATCATAGACAATTAAACAGTCAATCAAAAGTAGTAAGTTATGAAGTATATAAACCGAACATTATTGAATATTTAAGTGATGCGAAATTGTGTAAGAAATTAATTAGTGAAGTATCAATGTATACAGATTTTTCAGGGTATGAGCACTTAGTAGAAAAGGAATTAAATCATCATTCTATAAGTCTTGCAGAATGTAGAGAATGGATTGCAAATAAGAAATGTGAATATGGAACAGTGAGTAGAACCTCTGGTTTGTGGAGTACAAATAATAAAGTTGAAGTAGATTATCCAAATAGATTCACAAGTATGTTCTCACCAAAAAGATATTACAAAGAGAATTGCATTATAATTGACACAAAGGTTTATTCTCATTTCAATCAAAGTAGTCCAAGTAATGTTTTAGCCGATCTTTCAAATTGTAAGTATCAAGATGGTTATTGTCAAGGTGATACGATTAATGAAATCATGGTTTGGGATGTCAATAAAGATCAAAATTGTCAATACATTTCTATTGGACAACTAGATGGAATCATGAATAATGGACTTTGGATTAATAGTCAAAATCAAATTGCTCTGAGTTTGAATAAAAACAAAATTGTGAGAGATTGTAATCTTGATCTCTTAATTAGTGAAGAAGGTTTTGCAGTACGTCAGTTACAAAATGAAATTCAAAGAATTCCAACACCACAAGCACTAACTTCAACTCAGCGTCTTCAAGAAATAAGTACAAATCTTCAGAAGTATGCAGAGTCTTCGACTTTTAGATACGAAGGATTGTATCAAAAAGAAAGAGATATTATAAAAGACAACAAGAACAAATCCAAAAGGATCAGGAACTTCGTGAACAACAAATTCAAAAAGACAAAGAAGCAAGAAATAAATATGAAGCTGAAAGAAAAGAATTTGAAAGGAGAAGAGAAGAAAAAATGAAGACATATCTTGAATTCGAGAAAAAGAAACAGGAAAAAATAGAAAGACTAGCAAGACTCAAAGGATCTCCTTCGGATTCACTTGTGAAATTCAAAGATCAAGAAAGTAATAATAATACTTCTAATAATAATCTACAAGACAATAGAACTGATAAAATCAAAGATTCTGATATCCAAAGGATTGATAGAACAAAAAGATCAGAGTCTTCAACTCCTAGATCCGAAGGATTGTCTAATAAAGATTATGAAAATTTAGAAGAACCTTTTCCATTACCAACTTATGAAGAATATTCAAATATCAAAAATGATTGGTCCAAGTTACCAAGTTATGAAGTTTACTTAAAATCTAAAGATCTGGAATTGAAGGACTTCATGAAAACTAGAGAAGCCTGTAATAATTTTCCAAGTTATGATGAATATATTACAAAATTTGCTAAATATGCTCTAGAAGATTTGGAAAATAGAAAATGTAAAAATGGAAAACGAACAAGAAGACAAGTTTACTCAGATTTTCAAGCAGCTGGAGAGTTTCTGTTGACAGCGGATCCTCAGTCAGTCGAGACCGATCCTATGTCCTAACCCGAGAGTGCTCGCGCGCCTGTAGCGCGCCCTAAAAACCTGAAAGTGTGTATGAGATAAACGGTGCAAATGCAAAACAGTACACAAAGTATCATTGACCCATTTATTAGAGAGAAAAGGATGGGGCCAAGGCAAACGGTAAAGACAATCAAAGGGGAAATACCAGCAAGAACAGAATGTAAAAATACCAGCAAGAACAGAATGTTATGTTAATGTTAGGAAATGTTATGTTATAAATACAATGTAAAAAAATAAAACCAGTTTCATTTCAGACGTTCCATCAGAGCATTCAGATTGTTATTAATTTGCACAAAGTAATCATCAAAGTTTCTACTCGGCTTATAGCTTACGGAATGCATTTTGAATAACTCCTTTTGCATTGAGATCGCTGTATTTGCTCTTTCGAAATTTTCCTGAAGATTCCAGTTTTGAATGCAATCCTTCGCCACTTGAATCCGTATTTCTTTGCTTCCTTTCCAGCTCTGGTACCCTTCCAAATACTTGTGCACCATTTCAGGCTGGACAAAGTCCTTAATCTAAATCACAAAGATCACAATATAAAATTCTGTCAATCATACTTGAATATCAATAATGCTCAGTTTCCCGTCACCATTTAGTCCATAATTCTTTGAGTGCAAATCCTTCACAAACAGCAAACGACGTAGCAAGGCTCTCTGAGCGTGCACTTCGCTACTTATCTCCAGTCCATTAGTGTCTGCTCTTCGGAAACTAGGTACTAAAACGTAAATGGATTATATGAAACTAAAAAAATTGTGAGGTTTACCTTCTTCGGTTCCTATATACAGTCCAAAAGAAGAATAGTGTACATTGGGTATGAAATGAACCTTCGGCCCAACTCCTATCAGCTCGAGGAGTTTATACACAAAAAGTTCTCGTAAGTCAGCATGCTGACCAGTCGCATGAGCCATATGTTCCTTCACATAGAACTTTCCAATTGGTGATTTACTCCGCATAATATAACAAATAAGGCCACCCTGAAGACAATATTGTGCAATTATAGTTATTATCAAATTTTAGTAAAACGTACTTGGACTCCATCCTCTTCTGGTCCCTTCTTTTCACATTTGATGTGAAGAGTTGGGCATTCTGGGTTGTCGGCAAAAACTTTGGAGAAATATTTGTGTGCTGCTGATTCAATAAACTTGTATTCTTGATCCATGTATCGAGAGAAGTTCCCTTCGAATTGACGAAAAATTAGGTCGAATTGTGGGTAGGCGACCAATAATTTTGCGTCGACGAGTGGCATCAGATGTCCCAAGGCTTGACCAACCGTTCTCTCAAGTCGAATGAACTGTTTTTGTGCTGAAGCTTGTCGAGCCAGTTCAAAAGTGTCCACGAATGCTTTCCAACTAGCGACCATGTTATGTCTCTAAAATCAAAAAATCAATTTCAAATATCAAAACATAAAAACCATAAAGATTAAAAAAATATCTTAAACGTGTTAATATTTTTGAAAGATTCTCAAATCTATTGAAAACAAATTCTATAATTTATACTCTACTATATCAACATCCAATAAAAAAACATAATAAAAATTAGTGCACTTACCACAACAACCTTAGAGCGATGTTTCAGTCCCAAGGTTTGAAGTTTGTCTTCGCTAAATCCACCGAGTCTTTGGCCTTCGAGAAACAGCTCTTGATATTTCCGGTCGATATTCAACTTCGACTGAACTTCTCCATTTAAATGATACAAAGTATCCTAAAAACACATTTAATAATTGATAAGTTAAAAAAAACCAGTACCTGATAACTGAATGTGGAACGAAATTCTCGATGTACAACGCCTTCATGATCTTGTAACTCGATTGAGAACTCCATAACCTTTGGTTTTGATTATCTGAAATTTGAATGCAAATTCTAAAACCTTTTGCACTCTGAAAACATATTCGATCAGTTCAAAAAAAGAGAGAATGCAAACTACAGATGAAAAGGAACTCTTTTCTATTTACAGAAGTTAGAATGAGGTGAAAGAATGTGACGCTCGCCTCTTTTTTTTTGCCTCCCTCTGCGTCTCTGCTTGCGCGTCATTGTCATCACCCTTCCACTCTAGCCCAACGTGTTTGTGTGTCGCGTCGCGTCGCGTCCGTCTATAGACGTCCGTCTATAGATAAATTTATCCTTATGAATACATGGACTCTTTCAAGAGATTTGAAGAAACAAAATTACCAAGCATTTCAGCATTTTATGATTATCTGAATGGTAAAGAATGCTCGCGAAAAGATTATCTATATGCCAAGTTAGTTTGGAAGAAAATGAAATGCTCTAATTTAGAAGATTACACTAGAATTTACATGATCAATGATGTGCTACTATTGGCAGATGTCTTTGAGAATTTCAGAAACTTGAGTCTAAGGGTTTATGAACTTGATCCTTGTTGGTATTTCACTAGTCCTGGATTAGCTTGGGATGCTATGTTAAAAAAGACTAAAGTAGAATTAGAAGTACTTCAAGATGTTGAGAAATACTTGATGATTGAGAAGGGAATAAGAGGTGGTATTGTTAATGCGGTCAAAAGATATTCTAAGGTTAATAATAAATATACTAATACTTTTGATCCTTCAAGTCCTTCAAATTATCTGATGTATTTAGATGCAAACAATTTGTATGGGTGGGCAATGTGTCAAAAGTTACCAACTGGTGATTTTCAGTTTGTGGTTCAATCATTGATTGATGTTCTCAATGGTGAGAGAGAAGACATGTGTTTGAAAATAGATGATTACATCGACTATTTGAATAATTTAGGTAGAGGATGTATTTTCGAAGTAGACTTAGAATATCCTAAAGAATTACACTCAATGCACAATGACTTTCCTCTGTGTCCAGAAAATGTGAAAATTGATAAAGTCAAGAAGTTGTGTAACACATTATTCAATAAAGAGAAATATGTTATTCATTATACGAATTTGCTGCAGTGTATCCAATTAGGTCTTAAAGTGAAAAAAATTCATAGAATTCTGACCTTTAAAGAAAGTGATTGGCTCAAAGAGTATATTGAGATGAATACTAATCTAAGAAAAACAGCAAAAAATGATTTTGAGAAAGATTTTTTCAAACTGATGAATAACTCAGTTTTTGGAAAAACTATGGAAAATGTTAGAGAGAGAGTAGATGTACGTTTAGTTACTGATGAAAATAAAATAGTTAAGTTGGCTTCAAAACCAAACTACAAAAGAACAATCATGTATAACAAGGAGTTGTCTGCTGTAGAAATGGAGAAAATCAATATAACACTTGATAAACCTATTTATGTCGGTTTTGCTATTCTAGATCTTAGTAAGTGGTTGATGTATGACTTTCATTACAATGTTATGCAGAAGAAGTATGGAGATAATATTAATTTGTGTTATCAAGATACAGACTCTCTTATCTATGAAATTTTTACACCTGATCTTTATGAAGATATTCAGAAGGATTCCATCTTGAAGAATGAATTTGATTTCAGTGATTATCCACCCTGTCATCACTTATACTCTACAGAAAATAAAAAAGTAGTTGGCAAATTCAAGGATGAATTAAATGGTTTAGTAATGGAAGAACTTATAGCCCTTCGTCCAAAACAATATGGATATAAAATTGCTGAAGAAACACGTGAAAACTTTAGAGAGTATTATAATAAGAAGAGTCAAGAAGAAAAAAAGAATCCTAAACTCCCAAAGGTACCAAAACCTGGAGATGAAAGTAAAGGAATAAAAAAATGTTGTAAAATCAATGACTGTGGAAGATTTTAAGCACAGCCTTTTCAATAAGACTGTTGTAAGAAAGACTCAATATACTATTAGGAGTGTTAAACACACTATTTTCACACAATGTCAGAATAAAGTAGCTCTCAACAATGATGAAGTTTCTACTGAACATAAAAGATATATTATTAAAGATAGTCACTCGACAATGGCTTTTGGAAATGTGAATATCAAACCAGAGGTTCTATGAATCTTTGATTCTAATATTAAACCGAATCTTTTATAGAGATGATAAAACAACGTCCTGAAAGTCTTTAGTTTCTAGTAGTTTCAGAAGAAGTAAGCAATAATAACCACAGTGATGACTTCCGAAGTCTTGAATTTGAAATGTTGAACTCAATATTTTTATGTTATCTTCTCCATTTTTCAAATATTCTTGAAGTTTTAAAGGTGGATCTAATCCGAACGAATCAAAGTAATATATTTTATCTTTATTTTTGGTATAACAAACCCAATGTGTTCCTCTGCCTTCAGAAGAATCTAAATTTACAATACCTACTTCTTTATCTTTCGGCTTCGCTGGCAAAGTATCTCGCATAAATACACCACGGAAATTCTTGATTCCTAATGAGTCAACTAATTCAATGAGATCTAGATTTGTTAAACGCTTTAGATCTTTTTCTAGCTTCGCCATTTATTAATCATCATTTTTATAAGAAACTACAAACTACAAAGTACACCTTTCCACATTTTTGAAAATTGTTGAAAATAAGCCTTAAAATGGCTTAAAATGTTAAATACAAGTGAAAAATTGAAAGTGGGCAAAATGGACACTTCTACGTCCAGCCTATAAAGTGACGTTTTTCAAAAATGACTGATTTTCGATGAGCTTAGACACTTTTTTTGATGAAAATAAGCGTTAAAATAGTCAAAAAGTGCAAAAAACGTCATTTGGGCAAAATGACCGTCCAATGACAACTTTTTACATACTACTAAAATAGTGAATGAATAATCAAAGCAAGTAATTCAGGGGGATTTTGCGGGGAAAATCGGTAGACCCTGAGTTACTCTGCTTTCAGGTTGACAATTATCTGCGGGGAACCCGGATTTTTGTCAACAGTTTCAATACCTTGAGAACAAATCAAATAATCTACTAAGACATACAACTGAAGTAATGTGTGATATCTTTAATGAACATACTTCTCTTCTTGAGACTCTCATAAAAGAAAATCCTAGAAGATACATTCAAAAACAACTAAATCATTCAGCAATAAGGGTAAAATCAATTGATACTAATGACGATATTATTCAAGTGACATTTTGTAAAGAAATTGATGATTCTGACATTGAATTTGTTGATCTAACACATTTTGATGGATTCAAGACAAGTTTAGCTCTTACTCAAGGACAAATACCCATCAGAATTAAACAATTTGGAGACAAGATTTGGTATTACAAGAACGATCCAAGTGGGGGAATAATTTCTAGTAGCCTAGCACTACATCCTATGGCTAATAATGTTGCTAATTTCAAAAACTTTGAAGAGTTCGATCTAAATTTCTTAGATGATAAAGTAATCTTTCATGAACATATCCTCCTTGATACAAAAACGAATATAGAGGAAGAATTAATTAATGAGATGCGAGAAAAAGCTGATACTAGCATTCAATTACACTCAAATAGTCAAGATGGTATGATTCCTCATGAAATATTAGATGAGGTAGAATCCATTTTTGAGAAGTATTACATTAGAATTTGGAGGATTTATGTAACTATTGGTGTTACTCTCTTTTACATATTTATAGGTAGATCTATTTGGATGGTCCTTTCTCCAAAAACATTCTTTAAATCCGAAGGATCCGGGAATCTTCGATTCTTTGATTCAAGAAAAAATAGAAATCCGAGAAATAGGAATTCAATTTTTGTGAGAACAAAAAATCATGAAGATGTTGAACTGCAAGATTTCAGAAATGAACATAGAAGATCTCTTGTTGTAGACTAAATTTTTCTATCTTTAAATTATTTAAATTATTATTATTCTTTAATAAATTATAATCTTCTACAAAACGTAATGAGATTCTTCAATTCTGGTGATTCTTCAAAATATGTTATCATAAGTCCAAAAGAGAAAGATAAAATAGAATTGATTCAAGATATTAAACATGAAGAAAAAATAGAAATCAATGAAAAAGTAAAAGTCAAGGAAGGAGGAAGTATTACTCAAAAATCAATGAATACTACAAATGAAAAATTGAATAAAAAAATGCAGCATTTCTTAGAACTCTAAAGAAAGGATCTGCAAGACCTAGTGAAGGATCAGGATTCAAAAGAATTTAATTTAAATTATTTCATTTTTTTACGTTTTTACATATAATTCTATATGAAGATCACATTTGTTAAAGTCAATAAGGTTATTTTTATCATCCACTAGTTTTAATGTTAAAGTATTACAATTATTAACACTTCGATGATAAATTAAGTTTATTGGTTCATATTTTACTGAAGACGAATCTAAAGGAAACTTGCAAATGATATTACTTTGCCGTTCATCAATGAAAGTATCACAAATAAGATTGCATGATAGATAAACAAGAGACTTATCATTAGAACAATCCAAAATTCCATCAATCTTCACAACACTAATACTACTAATTTTTAAATCTTGTGGAAATTGAAATGTCTTTTCATTTGTTCGATATATATTTAAGAAGAGACTTGTCATTCTTAATTAAAGATTCAATTTATTTGAATAATTTATTTTATCTTATATTTTTCAAACATTTTAAATACCTAGGTATAAATTTAAAAAAGAGTGATTTCAGTGACTACAGTATCAAAAATTACTATCCAGAAAGAAATAACAATCCTTTACTTCCCCAAAGTATAAGAGGATGTATTATTGGAAAGAGTGGATGTGGAAATACTAACTTACTAATGAATTTACTTTTGGATGCTTACAAAGGTGAAGAATATCTAGATTACAATAATTTGTATATCTTTAGTACAACTTTATTTCAACCTTGTTATCAAGCATTAATTAATGGAATGAATGAAGGATTGAGTAAAAAAGAAATTAGAAAATGTTTCGAAAAGCAAGACTTCATAATTGAAGAAAAAAATGATTCCAAGCCAATCATTGATGTTTTCACTAGTTCTTCTTTAGAAGATATTCCAGATCCTAGTTCAATTGATCCCAATAAGAAGACTCTAATAATATTTGATGATATTTTACTAGAAAAACAAAATAAAATAGAACGATATTATACTAGAGGAAGACACTCTGGTGTAGATTGTTTTTACATTTCTCAAAATTATATTAAGTTACCAAAGAATACAATTAGAGAGAATGCTAACTTATTTATAATATTTCCACAAGATAAGATGAATTTAGATTATATTTATCGCGATCATTGTTCAGAAATCAAGAAAGAAGAGTTTCTTGAATTTTCAAGAGAAGTTTGGTCTACGAAGTATAATTTTTTAACTATTGATAAATCTAGTGATCTTGATGATGGTAGATTCAGGAAGTGTTTAAATTATTTTTACTTATTCTAGAAAAAATCTTCAATGAATTACGATCTCTAAAAATCTGAAAAAGTTAAGAATCTTTTCACTTCTAGGAAGCTTTGCTTTCGCTGCTTACACCTTTTTGATTACAATTGTATCTTCTTTTGTGTTTTGAATGTTAATACAAAATGGGCTAAAAGTGTTAGATGAAGGGGGGATGCCCCCAAATTTGTTGTTGGATTCTGGTAGATTACGAACTGGAGGAGTGGATTTTGAAATAAAATAGAATTTCTACTGTCGCCGTAAAACACAATTTTCACCCAAAGTTCCAGCCAAAATAAAAAAAATTTTAGCGATGACCCCAACTTTTTTTTGCATATTATGGTGAAACTGAGTCTTGTGAAAAAAAATGCCCCCGATTTTCTTCTTACCATAAGATTCTGCGCAAAATTTGCCACTATATACAATCCTAACTAAAAAAATCTACTGTCGCCGAAAAATGTTAGGCGTCTGCTTCCATATCATTCATAGACCAATTACTTTAAAACATAGGAAGGAAGCAACACCGGAAGGCCCCGCCCACTTTTCTGCGCACCGCAAAAAATGAGGAGAAAGTCAGTACATTGAGGTCTGTTAGAAAAGGGTCTGTAACTCGTGTCTGGAGAAAGATTTTCCGCTGAAATTTTGGGAATAGACTTCTATAAGAGTGGAGAAGAGAATCCAACAATAAAAATAAGAAAATATCTATTTTGAAAATTATGTTGCGGTGCCTACCTATAAATGTACTTTATGTCAGAAACAACAAAAGACACAGTAATGGTGCAAAATCAGTCGAATCAAGAGGTCATCATGAAAAGATCAAAAACGAAACAATTTCGTAAAAAAGCGGACGTATTACTACTTTTAGTGAGAAACATCAGGTTACACAGAAATTGCACAAAAAAAGCATAGTAAAGCGATGACTCAGCAACCAAGGAAGATCAAAACGAGAAAATTTGTTAAAAGTGACACAAACTGAGACATGACACACAACACATTAAGCTCCGCCCACTTTAAAAGCCATTCATAAGACAACTTATGATTCATTCATAAGACAACTTGTGAGAAGGTACAGCCCGAAATGCATGTTCACAAGATTATCAACGAGAAAGCGATCAGGTATGATTTTTTAATACCGAAACACCTATATTAGAATGGCACATTTAATATATATATATATTTGAAAATAAGTTTATAGGAATTTAAATTGTGTGTAAAGTATTCCAGAAACATCAAAATTTTACAGAAAAATTGTCAAAACAGTACATATGAAAAATGGGTTGGTTTTGATGAGCATGATAGATTTCCATGAAATTTCGAGCGAGAATTCAGTTAATTTTCTGATGAAAAAAAAACCTTTAATAAATGAAACACTAGAAGGACCGGTACTTCTAACACGGGTTTCACGACGGTTTATTTTAATTGTTCGTTACAGGTTCAAGTTGGTGGAGCTCTAGTCCGTATATTGAGTAAAAATACCAAGAAGGCTGGTGGACGTTTTCGTGGTTCTGTTGAGACTGTATTTCTCTCACTCGATTTGTCAAGCGGAATCACATCAGATCCTTATTTGCTTGCGGAGAATTATAAAAAATACAGGGATTCTATCAGAAAGACGTACAAAAGACCAAAAATATGCCAGGATGTATACAAAGCTGTTCAAGATATAAAAGAGGTACACTTTATTTTCTTTTCAACGTTAATTTTCTTTTAATTCAACGAAGCGGTATTTCAAAGTCAAGTAACTTTGATCGAGTTGACATTGAACAATTACAGAAAACTGTTTTCACAGGACGATATCAAATTATTGTATACGTGAAAAATTCCACAATACCATATTATAGATGACCATATATTGGTGAAAAAAGAATTTTGTTTCTCTACTTGTCTGATGGACATTATAGTGGGGTTCGAAGTGTATGTGCTCTACTCAAAACCAACTACTACTGCGCTTTATGCAACACTAGAGGAACCGATGCCACTTCTCATTACAACTGTCCTCTTCGTTATCGGTTGTGGTATCTCAAAGGAGAATCTGCGGTTCATAGATCTATATGCTCCGTAATAACTTCCGCTCTCGATTCATATGCATTGATCTTTTGTTTCCAATTAATATAAAAATTGTTTGGAGAATGAAAAAATATTTATTGCTATCAAATCTATCCCGAACAATATTTGACAAGTTTCAACGGTTGGTGGCACACAAAATAAGATAAAGAGAAAAGAAGAACCTAGTGGAACAGTAAGATGCTAATGATGCAAAAGATTAAAAATCATGATGTGATTATAATGAAACTATTTCTCTAGCATGATGTTTCCCCAAATAGTATAATCATTGTTTGTGACAGGTTTCGCAGTGTGATTGAACAGCTGGTTGTTGATTCGGAGACGATCACACATTCTAAGGAATACGTCCATATTGTTCTCCGTAATGTTACCGTGAACGTTCAGATAACGGAGTGACGCCTTGTTGTTTAGATGTCTGAAAATGACATTCATCTATTTTCCATATAAATCTCTTATCTAAACGCACATTAGCATGTTCGGATCGATTCCATAGCAGCGATTAATCGAAAGTTGAGTCAAGTGTGGAAAATAAGCAACAAGAGTGGCGATTGATGCATCAGTTAACTCTCCATTGTCTGATATATCGAGATCCACTACTTCATCGACTTTCTGTGATAGAATATCAATGTCTGAAATGTGCACTATTCGTTAATGTTGAAGTTCTTCCCTACTTACGCTCGCCATTCAATCCATATCCACGAACCGATCCAGAAAGGCTCAACTTTCGAATGTTTCCCGTGATGTTGTGAACAATGACATCGAGCGCTTTCTTATCAAGTTCGCACCAAGAGGCATTGAATTGCTCAAGTTTAGTGCAGTTTTGAACGATCATTCTTGCGCCTTCCGCACTGATTCCTCTAGTCATGGATATGTCTAGTTCGAGGAGATCGCGATTGGCAGAAATGCATCTGGCCACTTCATTGTTCAAAATGTTTCCTTCGATCGACAAACATTGAAGTTTAACGCATGGCTTCAAGATGATTAGGAGTTGACGCTCGGTGAGATTAGCACGAGAAAGATCCAAGAACTCGAGACGGCATTGACTGTGCATGGTTTTGGCGTACAAGCGGATGTTAACGCGAGACATCGGATCTGCCTTGGCACCGGCCAGACGGAGAACACGGATTTTTCGTTTCATCAATCCAGCTAACGCCAACTCTGAGACTGGACGCTCCATGACATCAGTGATAAGCCAGTTCTTCGATTTAGTTCCGATCGCATAGAAACTCTTGCACACAGCCATTACAGCAAGAAGATCTCGTTTTCGCAAATTGGAGAAGATAAAATCAATCACTTCTTCTGGAACCTTGTACTTTCTGAATGGATCTTCGAGAGTACGGAATCCTTTTCTTCTGATTGGTAGAGTGGTCACTCCCTTTTTCGGGACATCGTTCAAGTTTATCGATTTGAGTCTAGCTGAGCTGAAAGCTTGAAAATTAAATAAAAACTTATCAACGTCTTTTAATCACTTTTTGGACACCGAGAGCCTGATCGACTTCTTTGGATACTGATTATAGCATGGAAAAATGGGATCGGACTCGTCAGTGAATACTGCAAAAAATTATATAAACAGAAGTTGCGTTCTTGGCACCGAACCTCTATCCGCGTCGTTTTCCGCATCTGAATCCGCTTTCTCGTCAAGACTTGCAGGAAGTCGTCCGATAACGCGAAACATTTGCGGCGGTTAATATGATAGAGAGGCTGACTTCTCGACCTTTTTCGCCAGCGCTCCCCTCCGAATGTTTGTTTTGTTTGATTTTCCCATTCGAATCATTTGGCGGGCGCGGAAGTGTTTTTTGAACTTGGCGCGGTTTGTCTCCATGCACGCGCGCTCCACCGCTCTTGCAAAATTTTGAACTTTTTCTCGATTTTTTTTTCTTTTTCGCTCTTACAATTTGCCCTGATTTTCTTCTGACTCAACTTACCCGAGATTTTAAGTAGCTCTCGCGACACCTAAATTTCAGATTTTCAACAAAATTCTGCGTATGTCGATTTTTCTAGCAAATTTATGTTCTAGAGTTATTTCGAAACAAATGAGTCAACATTTTCGCATTATTTTCCGGCGCGATTTTTTCCTTCCGACAGTGTTTTTGCCGGTTATTGTCACAGCTTTCTTACGAACGAAATCAAGTTTTTTGTGAGTATGATTTTATTAGGTTGAAGCTTTATTTTGGTATTTCGTGAATCATTCTGTTGAATTTGAAATTATTCGGTCGTCTTTCGGGTTGAGCTTCGTTTTTTGGTGTCATTTCGTTATTTTGGTTACGACGGTTGTATCTCCATGAGAGAGGATCTGAAATCTCTTACATATTTTTTTTATACAATTGGTCATATTGCACCAAGTTGTTGCATATTGACTGGAACATCCTGAGCAGCCACATGCTCTGCAGCACTGTTCAGCCCTATTGAACGATTTGCGTAGAGATTGATCTCATTGAAAATGTAATCGTCAGTGAATTCATCAGGAACCCCTCTTTTTCGTTTACTTGATTCATCCGGCAAGTTTGTCACTACTACATCAGTTTGTTGAGCTTAAATATTGCATTTCAGCCGCTTTATTGGTGACCAAAAACCTACGCATATTTATCAATTCTCCTCTTTGTATAGCTTCAATCAACGCATCTAAATCTAGATCCCCATCTCCTTGAGCTTCTCGCAAGGCTCTCTCCTTTCGAAGCCTTTCTTTCAGCCGTTTAATCTGTTATTAGAGCGAAGTGAGAGAAAATGCACATCACACACAGCCACAAACCTGCTCAGCACGTCGGCGTCTGCTCTCCTTGTCTATTTCCTCCTCGCGCTTGCCGTCTGCCCATTTATTGAAACTGAATGTATTGAATACATTCGCGCCATCTCCCATTGCCAAGTATAGATCGAATGGCTTGACAAAATAAAATTAATATGTCTGCTCTCAGTTAAAAGAAAACGAAACACATAGAAACCAAAAACTCGAAGTGTCCTCTGTCTTGAATATTTCATTGAAACCATTGACGTTGGTTGCTGTAGTTTCTTTACAACCACCAAAGGAGCAGAGTGCATTTATTATTTAGTGAGCAGGATTATTCAGTACATATGTTTTGAAAATCTATTTTATCATTAGGCGTATTGATCTGCCCGAACATAATCTTCTTACTTCCAGTTTTTACGTCTTTCCAGTTCCAGTTCTACATGGTGTTTATGTTTTCTCTTCTAATACATTTTTTCAAAATCATGTTCTTTTCCTTCTTCTCTCTTTCAATGTTTTTTGTGTGCGCCAACCACGTCCAGTACACCGAACCCGACGACAAATCAATAGAGGCTCTTGCACTGCCGCTGGTGGCGGATTGTGCTAGCGAGATGGCCGCGCTCTGCTTCTCTGCGCCTTCTCTTTTACTTCTCTTCCATGCTGATTTTATATGCGAGCGCCATGTTGAGTGATTTCCTAACATGTTATGACAACAAACTGCAATGGGATGTTTTTGGAGTTCTTTTTGGTTTAGACTCGTAATTGTTCGCTGGAAAGGAGCGGAGTTCCTTCGATCAATAAATATCTACTTCAATTATCCTTTTTGTCTGCGTCTCGTTCTCTCTTGAATGATATTTCCTGATAATCCCTTCTTCTTCTTCCCTCCTGGTGAACACGGATGCTAATAAAATATTTTTCTGAGCAAGAGGATTATCACTGGAAAAAAATCAATTCGCTAGTCTGTATCAGTTATTATTCTTTCTCTTTTTTGACACCTTCGTCTCTATCAAAATTTCGATGTTTCATTCATTTTTCTCCTTCCTCAACAATTATATTTTCAGCCTTCCACTCAACAACAATGTCGGTTGCTGACGAGACCACGGACGACTCACTCTACCCGATCGCTGTTCTTATCGATGAGCTTCGTAACGAAGACGTGACTCTTCGTCTTAACAGCATTCGTAAACTGTCCACAATTGCTCTGGCTCTCGGAGTGGAGCGTACTCGTAATGAACTCATCCAATTCTTGACTGACACTATCTATGATGAGGATGAGGTTCTTCTTGTTCTTGCTGAGCAACTTGGAAATTTCACACCATTGGTAATTTTGAGCAAATAGAGATGTTTTTTAGATGATTGTTTCAGGTCGGAGGGCCAGATCATGTTCACTGTCTTCTTATGCCGCTCGAAAACTTGGCTACCGTAGAGGAAACCGTCGTCCGTGATAAGGCTGTTGAAAGTCTTCGCAAGATTGCTGATAAGCATAGCTCTGCATCTTTGGAGGAGCACTTCGTCCCAATGCTCAAGCGTCTTGCCACTGGAGATTGGTTCACCTCCCGCACCTCTGCATGTGGACTCTTCTCCGTCGTCTATCCCCGCGTGAGCCCAGCAATCAAGTCGGAACTCAAAAGGTATACATTCAACCAAACGTTTTTTTAAACAACGGAGTATTTTTTCAGTATGTTCCGTACTCTATGCCGTGACGACACTCCAATGGTTCGTCGTGCTGCTGCTGCCAAGCTTGGAGAGTTTGCGAAGGTTTTTGAAAAGACCGCTGTCGTTGATGGACTCCACTCCAGTCTCACCGATCTCCACGTCGACGAACAAGACTCTGTCCGGCTTCTCACAGTCGAGTCAGCTATTGCTTTTGGAACTCTCCTCGACAAGCCAAGCAAGAAGAAGCTCATTGAACCAGTTCTCGTGGAACTATTCGATGATAAATCGTGGAGAGTCCGCTACATGGTTGCTGAGAAGCTTATTGAGATCCAAAACGTCCTCGGGGAAGAAATGGATGCCAACCATCTTGTCCAATTGTATACCAACCTTCTTAAAGATCCAGAAGGAGAGGTCAGATGCGCTGCCACTCAACGTCTTCAAGAATTCGCCCAAAATTTGCCAGAAGATAAGCGCCAGACTATCATCTGCACCCAGTTGCTTGCCGTGGCAAAGGAACTTGTCACCGATGGAAACCAATTGGTCAAGTCTGAGCTGGCTGGTGTAATTATGGGACTTGCTCCACTTATTGGAAAAGAGCAAACCGTTTCCGAGCTTCTCCCTATCTACATGCAGCTCCTCAATGATCAGACTCCAGAAGTTCGTCTCAACATAATTTCTAGCTTGGACAAAGTCAACGAGGTTATCGGTGCAGCTCAATTGTCTACTTCTTTGCTCCCAGCCATCGTCGGATTGGCCGAAGACGGAAAGTGGAGAGTCAGATTGGCTATCGTTCAATTCATGCCACTCCTTGCTTCTCAATTGGGACAAGAGTTCTTCGATGAGAAGCTATTGCCTCTTTGCTTGAACTGGCTCACCGACCACGGTAATTTAGTTTACATATGTGTCTCAAAATATAAACGTTTTTTTTCAGTTTTCTCGATCCGGGAAGCTTCCACTCTCATCATGAAGGAGTTGACACAGAAGTTCGGAGGACAGTGGGCTAGCACAAATATCCTTCCAAAGATGCAGAAGCTTCAAAAAGACACAAACTACTTGCAAAGAATGACTTGCCTCTTCTGCTTGAACACCCTCAGTGAAGCTATGACACAGGAACAGATCCTCAAGGAAATTATGCCAATTGTGAAAGACGTAAGCACACCGTTAGAAGTCGGTTGCTTCTATATTTAAATGTTTTTCAGCTCGTGGAAGACGATGTACCAAATGTCAGATTCAATGCAGCCAAGAGTTTGAAGCGGATCGGAAAGAACCTTACTGCCAAGTCAGTGTGAATTCTGATATTTTTATAATTTGAAAATATTTTTCAGCACGCTAACATCTGAAGTAAAGCCACTCCTCGAGAAGCTTGGAAAGGATTCCGATTTCGACGTTCGATACTTTGCAGAGGAAGCCAGAAATGGTTCGTTGTTTTTCATAAGAAATGATTATTTTAATGAATCTATTTCAGGTCTCGGCTTGTAATCGAGCATATCACAGTCAAATTGGAATCTCCTAAAGTCCTCCCCACTTCTCATATTTCCCTCGACTTGCTCCATCTATTTTCTCCCGTTTCTTTCTCAATTATATTTTTCTCGAACATAAATAATCTTCGAGGTGTGCTATCCTCGTCCAATTCCCTCCCCTTTTTTTCGAATCCATTCATTCATGTGTAAATGTTAGTCCGGCATCTATGGCACAACTCTTTATTGTAGTTCTAACAGTGAAATCTCTATTAATTTATACTCTATCTCTTTTCCTTTTTTCACCGTCTTCCTACTTCCTCTTCTCCTCGTCTCCATTCTCTTCATAACATGAAACCACCATTCAAACTCTTCCGATTGAATCCTTTTGCAAAATAAATGATCATTGAAAGTATAGTATTCATATTTGTTTCAGAAGACTTTAGAATTTGTTGTTGTTGAAGTCTATCAGAATATTTTTGCGACGTTCTGGGAAAGAAAAACATATGGAATTTTGGTTTTTGCAGTGGATATGTTAAAAGAATGACACTTGTTCTCTGTATCCTAATCGTGTTATACCTACCATCAGTGTCAACAACTGCCGGTATATTCGACCTTGCAGAATACCGACGGGTCTCGTATGACGCAAGTATCGGAGAAGATTTCCTCTGGTTCGCTCCAGATTTAGACATTCGCGATGTAACATCGAAAAATATCGACGAGCTTGAAAAGCGAATAGTTGAAAATATTCCTGACGAATCACTCCCCAATTATGTATTTATTACGAGTAAAGGAGGCCAGAAATTTGCATGCTCTCTGCCGGATGTTGAGGATTTGAAGGTGAGACCGGTTGATAAAAAGGTTTGAGTATTCCAAAATCTGTAAAAGGAAATGTTGCTGAAACCGAAATATTTCCAGAAGCCGAAGCCTCCGAGAAGCAGTAAGAATCCAAAGATCTATGGAGATGCTCTAGCAGCCAGTTTTTATATCGAAAAGTGTATACGGCTGCGTGGCAATCACTGGTGGTCTTACATTCTCTGCAGAGGGAATTTGGTGGAGCAAGTGCACGGAGAACGTAAGCTAGCTTATACTTTATTTTCAGCGACCAATTAGTCATTTTTAGGTGGGCAAGAAGGATACGCCAAGAACATTTTAGGGATATTCGATGGGAACCTGACAATGCCTTCTTATCAAGAATCCACCGAAGATCGTCTTCTTTACGTTGAAGAATCATACGCCAGTGGAACATTCTGCGATCTAGACGATTATCGAGAGCCGAGATCTACTACAGTTAGGGTGAGACCCTAAAATGCTTTTTAACAAACCCTGAAAAAAGATTTCAGTACGAGTGTGATCCCCAATTAAGCACTAATGAAGCATTACTATCGTCCGTGGTTGAAGTGAGACCTTGTCAGTATCTGATGACAGTGAAAGTTGGAACTCTATGTCACTATCCGGAATTTCTGCCAACAAACCAAGCAAACTCCAAGAGCATCGGATGCCAGCCATATATGACTAGGAAGGATGTGAGAGAACTTTTGGAAAAACAACTTGACGAGAAGAGAAAGAAGGAAGAGGCTAAGCGACACATCGCTGATGCTAAAATAGAATTCAACAGTGCACTTGAAAGGTACGTGGCAATGTCGAAATCTGCTCGGAAAATGAATAACGATGATGACATAAAGAAGACCAGCGCAGAAATGGATTATAACGCTGCTCACTTCAATTTGCTTGTGGCGAACTTGGAAGCCGAAGGAAAGACACTCTCCAAAAAGAAGCTTGACGCCATGTGGAAACTATTCACCAGCACTGATATCAGTGATTTCATGTTTTATTGTAAGTTAGCTTGAACTGTATATTCATACAAGCAAATTAGATTTTTAGCTCACTATGATTCTATAAAAGACGAGAATCGCGGTAACTTATGGCATTATTTTCATGATCCAATGTGGCCAAAAGACTACTTTCCAAAGGATATCACTTATGTGGCTATTCAAAATGCATACATAGATGAAGTAACTTTGAATCTACAAAGCTCCTACGAGTATGATTACGATGAACGCGGTGTTGTTGAAGGAATTTCCAAGTTCTTGAAAACTGGAAAAATCGAACTGGAAACGAATGCAGTGATTCCTGCAATGGAAGTATTTGAAGAAATTGTCGATATGAGTGTCGATTTCGCACACAATCGATACCCGTGGCTTCATGCTTTTCATCTAGCATTTCTAGACGATAGAGAGGAACCTGGTGTTTTTGAAAATTTGCTAAATTCTATCATAAATCCTAAGAAAGGGCTGGAATACTTTACATTAGGACGTTTGGCGTAAGAAGTTGATGTTTAGGCCTAAAAGAAACAAACTAATTTGGATTACAGAAGAGGAACAGTTTCTCTGATGTTCGATGATATTTGGTATGATCTGGTGGATATCAGCAAGAATGGAAAGAAAAGCAAAGTGTTGAATGTGGATTCGTCAAGATATAAAGCAATATATCAAGCGCTCAACATTATACCATATCCGAAAAATGGACGAATGAAAAAAGGAGAACATACATTCAAGTACAATATAAGTGTGGTGGAGGAAGACACCGGGATTGATATGGAACTTGAGTATATGCGTCTTCTAACACCGCTTTATAAATTACTGAGTGTAAGAAAATTATTTGAAGCATTTTTGTCAAGCAATTTAGTGATTTCAGATCAGCTGGTTCCGACGTGAGAATCCGGACTACTTCCATGTGAGTCCGGTTTCGGAGGCGTACCTGAAAGAAGTTGGTAGTGAGGATTACATATTCCATAAAAACTTGGCACGAGATATGGCATATTTCGCTGGAATGCTGAGCTACATTACACTGAAAAGAGTTTCAGAGTGAGTATACCAGAGGTGTCTGGAATCCGTATTCCGTGTTTTCCGGGTTCCAATAAACTTATTTTTCAGATTTGAAGCATGGAGATATGGAAAAAAGAGCAAACTATTATCAGCAGAACAGCTGGAAGCTTATTTAATGACTAGACCTTTGAAATTACTCCCAGAGGCTGTAGAAGTCAGTTTTCGAACTAATTTTAAAAGATTAACAAAAAAGAATTTGGTGTTTAGGCTGCAGAGTTTGCGTTGTACTATGATGTCGGTCCTGACGTTGTTAAAGCAGCTAAGCAGAATTTATGGATGAGAAAGATTGAGAAGTATACAACGAACTACTGGCTCAAAGATCACAAACTCCGGAAGCAAGCTCAATCGATGCAATCAATGATGAAAGATCTTCTATCTGTCAAAGATGATAGTGCTGCTTTTGTGTCTCTCGGTGGGAAGTCTGGGTCACAAAAGAAAAAGAAGAAAGAACTTATAGATGAGAAAATGTTGAATAAAATGCTATCGATGGATTCCTTGGACGACTTGGAGGGTGAGTGATTAATCTTTAGAAGTTATGAAAAGCAAAATGTTTTTAATAGATGTGATAGAGAACCTGAAAGAACGCGCGACGTCTGCTACTTCAGATGATGACTTCTCCGACTTGAATGAGATGGAACATGTTTTTGATCTGCTTGAGAAAGCAGGGCTTAGCAAGAAAACGGATGTACAAATCAAACTGTTTGATGCAGATGGGAACGAGATTCAAAGCGAAGAGCTTGATGATGTTGCCCGAAGTATTCTCGTTTCCAGCGACTCGGTGAATCGTTTCAAAGATATTGAAAAGGCGTACAATCGGAAGATTGGGAAAGATTCTGGAGAGGAGGAAGAAGACGATTGATAATTACGTGTTTTGTTGTTTCATTGCAAATCTAGTCATGTAAAATATACATAGTTAAATACGGTTCAACTTGTAGTGTGCTTGTTCCCTGTCAATTTTTCACTTTTTTCTGTCCGTAAAAAAGCTTTAATTTCATTCCATTACAATCAAACATGTTAAATTTTACTGTTCATAAAAAGTTATGGGTTATTCTGTTGCTGGTTTTTCGATTCTATGGGTTACTGACCCTACTGTATCTAACTCTGTCTTCCCTTTGTCCGTCCTCCCATCTTCTGACCTCTCCCAACATTTAGAAATTGATGAATTGGGTCCTGATTACGGTTGCAGTTATGGCTTCCCAGCTCACTGCAGAGCCGACTGTTGTTGTGGTTGGAGGTGGACTGGCTGGTCTGTCAGCTTCACTTGAAATCATCAACGAGGGAGGAAAAGTGATTCTTGTGGAAGGAGAGAGTAACACTGGTGGAAACTCTGCCAAGGTAAAATCCTTTGCTTAGGTTCGGAATATACTCGTCTGTTCTGTAGGCATCCAGTGGTATCAATGGAGCTGGCACTGATACACAGAAAAAGCTTGGGATTCAAGATTCCCCGGAATTACTCATTAAGGATACGCTGAGTGCTGGAGATGATGAGAATAATAAGCAGCTGGTTAAGGTGCTATCTGAGAATTCAGTTGCTGCCGTGGAGTTCTTGAGAAGTGTGGGAGTAGACCTAACCGATGTGAATCTTTGTGGAGGACACTCTGTCCCTCGTACTCACTGGATTCCATCACCAAAAGAAGGAAGACCCATTCCAGCTGGTTTCGAAATTATGAAGAGACTCAGAGCCAAATTGAATGAGTTGCATAAGGAGAAACCAGAACGGTTCCGTCTTTTAACTCAAACCAAAATGGTCGATATTATCAGAGAGTCTGGAAAAGTTGTGGGTGTTGAGGTGGTGTCCGCCGATGGAGAGAAATCGAAAATCACTGGAGATGCTGTCATCCTAGCAACTGGTGGATTCTCAGCTGATCAAGACGGTCTTCTTAAAGAGTTTGGAACACAAACTCTCGGGTTCCCATCTACCAACGGAGCGTTTGCCAAGGGAGAAGGTGTGAAGATTGCACGTAAACTTGGTGCTAAGCTCATTGGAATGGAAAGAATCCAAATCCATCCAACTGCCTTTGTGGATCCGAAGGAACCAGCTGCAGGAACTAAATTCCTTGCTGCCGAAGCCCTCCGCGGAAAAGGAGCTCTTTTGATTAATTCAGAAGGAAAGAGATTCGGAAACGAACTTGGAAGACGTGACTACTTCACTGGACGCATTCAAGAGCACGCTAAGCCAATCGAAGAGAGTTTCCAAGGAGGATCAGCTGGTAGAAATGCAGCAATTATGCTCATGAGCGAAAAGACTATCGATGCTTTCGGAAGACCAGCATTCAACTTTTATGCAATTGTTAAAAAGTTCTTCAGTGCGTTTTTCAGAAAAATGCTATGATAATGAAAATAACACATTTTATTTCAGAAAAATATGAGAACCATCAAGAGCTGGCGAAGGCATTAAATGTAGGTGATGCTGTAATCAAAGCAACCCTAGATGAGTACCAAGAAATTTTCGATGGTAAAAAAGAGGATCCATGGGGAAAGAAGGTTACCTATCCTGTAATAATTATTTGATTTCAAACTATTTGTAGGTGTTCCCAGTTGCTGCTATCTCTCCAAACGAGCCAATCTACGCTGCTATTGTGGTTCCAGCCATTCACTACACCATCGGTGGCTTGCAAATCGACGATCACGCTCGTGTGATTGATGAGCAAGGAAAACCAATCGTTGGACTTTATGCGGCTGGAGAGGTCACCGGTGGAGTCCATGGCTCTAACCGTCTCGGTGGAAATTCCCTCTTGGAATGCGTTGTCTTCGGTCGTATTGCTGGACATTCCGGAATCAATGCCTCCAAAACTCGCACTGAGCTCTAAGCTCATTTCTTTTCTTTTTTTAACTTTTTTTATTCTTTTTTTCATACCTGCTCCAAAATTCTTGATAACTTATTGTGGATCACTTCTACAGTACAATTATTTCATTCAGTTCTTTCCTTCTCTCCACTTCCCAGGTACTGTAGAATGTTCCACATTTCCCCCAAGAATTTACTGGTTTCTTTTTTGTTTTTGAACACACTTTTCTATTTTAGCAGCATCATTTTATTGTGATAATAAGCATTTTTATGGGTTGGTTCCTCGTTCTTTATCTCTTTTTCGTGTATCGTCGTAATCCTTTTTTGTAGCCAGCAAGTCGGTAATAAATGTTGTTTTTTTCAGATGATCAACGATGAAGCATTTGATGACCAACAGCCGGCCGATGAGGTAACCGCTGCCACGATGCGGAGGCTTGCCTTCGAGAAAATGGACGATGATTACTACCTGGGTGGAGCTGTCGGAGATGAGGTGTTCGATTCGGATGATGAAGTCAGGTAAGAGATCAAAATAACACTAGAGATCTCTCCTCTATGTTTGAAAGATTTTCTTATCACTATCGCCGCATAACTAACATAAAAAGCAATATTTATGATAGAGTAGGATTCTTGAATGTGTCGCTATCAAGAGAAAGAGCAGAAAGAATTTGGGCATCACCCTTGTCCTTATATGTTTTTTATGCCCTCCCATTCATCAAATAGTTCCGAGACGGGAGGAGGTTTTGATAGGCATTTAAAGAGCGTTTAGAAAATGTGTGAAAAAAAGATAAGATGATAGGCGGCTTTTTGACATAATCTCTTATTTTCAGCTCGGATGATGAGGTGAAGACACAGTTGCGCAAACTGGCTGGGATCGAGAAGGAAGTGACGCAGGACGCATTCGGGAGACGCAGAAGACGTTCGGAGTTCGAAGATGATATGGATGATGAGCTCGATAGAAGTATCACGGAATACGCCAATGAACATCTTGGCATCAAACCAAAGGTAGTGGAAATTGACGATGGTCCGAAGCAGGCTGCAATTGAGATGAAAAACAAAAAGGAAGACGTTCTGAATCCAGAATACGAAGAGGAGTGCAGAAAAGCGGATGAAAAATGGCGTCAGGAAACGGATGATGTTGAGAGAAAAATGGCAGCTCTGGAGCTCCTCCCATATGACGTGGATCTTACTGATAGTGAAGTTGACCCAGAAATGCCGGCTGCAGTGCTCAAAAACAAAAGCGGGCAAGCAATCAAACTGGTGTACAGTTGCAAGAACGGAGAGACTTTTGATGTGGAGACTAGAAGGAAACAACAAAAAGAACGACGTCTTCGCATCGCCGCGTCTCGTCTTCCGGAAAAGCAACGACGGGAAAACATGATTCAGACAGTTGTAGACACCTTCACTTCTAATGATGTGGAAAGCAAGGATCGTCCGATAAAGAAGAAGTACCAGGAAGATGCAAAAGCTTCCCAACCACTGGCGTCGATTCTGAAAAAAGGAAAGTCGCCGAAGAAAATGAAAATCGAAGAGGAAGAAGAATTGAAAATGGAAGTTGATGATGATGCTATCAAGGAGGAAAGTAATCCAATCAAACGAGCTGCAATGGAACGGTTGAAAGAGATTGAGAAGAATGATGAACTCTTGTATGATGATCAGGAAGACGATGATAATGAGAAATGGGTCAGAGAGCACAGAAAGATCACTAGAGGGCAAGAAGTGCCTGACGGTGAAGCAGATGGTGTGCTTTCTTGTCCTGGTTGTATGGTCGAACTTACCAGAGACTGTCAGCGTCATGAAATTTACAAGACTCAATACAGGTGAGTGATTCAATGTCTCAATTAAATAGCTTCCTAATTTATTCCTTTTGTAGAGCCATGTTTGTCTCGAATTGCCAGGTGGACGGTGAAAAGGTGGCTGTTGAGAAGACCGGAAAGGAGAAGAGACGAGACCGGCAGAAGGCCAAAAAATCAGGAAAAGTGAGTTTCCTTCTCAAAAGATAAATCCACCTGTCCCTATTTTATTTACAGGCAGATGGGCCGGTGCTACCCGAGGATATGTACACTCAGGTGAAATGTTCTTCCTGTGGTACGATTGTGGCAATGATGGATTCGGACGAGGTCTACCACTTTTTCAATGTGCTCGCTGGTTATTCTTGATTCACAATTATTTTCTAATTTTGTTAAATACATATATATTTATAGATCTCGTTCCCCTATATTGATATTCGGTTGTCTTTTTTCCCTGTTGAGTGAATGATTTTTAAATGACTGATATCGAAATGTTGCTGGTGCGGACACTGTTCGATCAGAAATCGGGCATCGTTGTTTCCGATTAGCAAGATTAGAAAAGATAGAGAAACGTCTTCTATCTCTCTGTTTGGAAAAAAAGTTTACAAGAAATCGAAACAAACGATTCCACAGTCAACAAAGAATGAGAAAAGAGAGTGCGCGCGTCACTTCCGATTCGGAAAGCCATCTCGACATTCCGATGTTCTGAAGGACGTTATCTTCTATCATTACGTAGCTGTTTCTTCTGAATTTTGTGATTTTTATAAGCAATTTTGCTCATATTTCTTCAAGAGCTCGCCTGGCGCTGAAGTCGAACTGATATCAGCTCTTTGCTCTGTAGAAAAGAATCACTGTTCAGCTAATTTTTCGAGATTCCCTCTGTTTGTTATCTTCTTTACGGAAATCCCTTCTTATCTTTTGATAATTAATATTCTTCCGCCTTTATATCCAACTGGTTATATCTCACTTTTCGGGGTCACCCCATGTGATACATAACCTCTTCTCTATCTCTTCAGCTTCTTTCTATTTCGTCACTTCCGTTGCGTGTTCTGATCGTCGTTCCTCAGTTTCACGTGATGCTTTAGCTTCAGATGATTCTGTCACTTACCGTTCCTTATTCATACATCATCTTGAAATCTTGTTGTCTCCTTCTAGTCGCCGCACCCCAAAAAATTCCTAAGCATTTTTGATGATGTCTCTTTCCCCCCCGGGTGTGCGACCAAATCTCAAATATCTCTTCTTCTATGCACTTCGAAAGCCTCCTCGGAAACAGAAAAAAAGAGACTCGATCATCTCTCGGTCGGTCGCGTCCGTGGTCAGAAGACAAGGTCGCCGTCGACCTGATCTCTCGAGATTTGCACCACAGCTTGTCAATTAGGTAATGAGACGATGGAGAAGAAGGCAAAAGGGGGAGGAGAGAGAAGAGATTTGTTGAAATGTCGAATTGATAACGCTCTTTTTTTTTCAAACGAAAAATATTTAGAAGCAAAAAACAAGTTAGTTAGGATGGGATGACAAGACTACGAAAATATGTGTATATGGAGATCGTGGGAGATTCGAAAATAAGGCTTTCTGTAAATTTGTTTGTCCAGAATCGTGACGTGTTGATTGTAGCGAGTTTCAGATTTAGAATTTAGAACTTCTGCTAGAGTCCTGGAGCTTTTTTCTGGAAACTCGATATATGAAAAAATGTTTTCCAAAATTCATTCCTTCTCTATCTACCGTAATCCAAAAAGTTAAGAAGCTCCATCTTTTCCTCGTGGGTGGTTGTTGGTTACTGTAGCTACCGTAATCTTCAAACGGTTCTTTTGCTTTTGTTTTCAATAAGAAACCTGTGGACTACCGCAACTTTCAGTTTTTGACTATGTTCAAATTTTCGACCTAGGTTGAAAATTTGCTATGGATAGCTATGGATCTTATAGCTATGTATCAAGAAGTAATAAAAAACTTTCCATTCCACTACTACCGTAAAACCTGTAGAAGGATCCCCACACTGTCCAGTTTGAGTTCAATTATCTCGGCTCCTATAAGAGATATCAAAATGTGTTAACTAACAGAATCTTTTTGATATTCTGATAAACAATTTATCAGTTGACAACTTTTTCATATCTTTGACAGGAAACGAGATAAATTGACTCAAAGTTCAAAGTTATCTAATTTTTCGATGATCTGTCTCGGAACACTCATTCATTCCTTATTCAGAAAATCTCTTTTCTATGAATCCGAATCTTCTTGATATCTGACTAACAAGAAACAACGACAAGATGATAAATGCCACATCATAGTTTATTCAATTTTCGCAATAAGGATCCTTATGTCCTCCCGAAAAGTCATTAAAGGAAATGACAAATGGCCGTGTCATGCTGACATCCTTTTCCCCCATCATACCTAAATCCATCTCTTCTTCTTTTAATTCAAATTAAAAGTTTTTATGAGTCATAAGTGAACTTTTTTACAAGTTCACTTTATCTCTTATTTTGAGATGTTTGATGAGTGAAACGAGAGAGAGAGAGAGACGAACGGTTTGATGCGATGATTTGCAGAAACCGAACAGGAGGGAGAAAGAAAAAAGAAGATATGAATGAAAGTACAAGAAGAAGACGGAAATGGGTGTGAGAAGAGAAAGAAACTGATTAGAGACAGCTGAAGTGAAACGGAAACTACCAAGAACTTTTTGCTGGTTTTTTGGTTTTGGTCTTGAAGATTATCACTTTTGACTGGGATGAAAACACAGATATTCATGATTTGCAAATCACAAAGAATTGAGAACTTCTGGATCTACAAAAGCTATTCAAAGTTTTGCTATCGATCTGAATTTTTTCTACCGTATAAAGCAAAATTCGAACTACATTTTTTTAGTTGACAACATTTTTGACTAATGTACCGAAATGACGGGAATGTCTAATTAAGATATCGTAAACGATCTGATAGAGTGCCAATCAATTTGTTATATTTGAGTCCATATATCTCGGCCCCTGTAAAAGATACCAAAAAGTGGTCTACTTATAAAATGTTTTTGATATTATGATAAACATTTTGTCAGTTAACCACTTGTTGATATCTTTCACAGGAGATGAGATATATGAGCTCAAAGTTGACGGTTTTGGTGTTCAGAGCGTCTACTGTAAGTGACAACGTTTTGAAAGTTGTGAACAACAAAACATAACTACTTTCCCGTGTTTTGAATTCCTGAAATACTTCTGAACTGTTAAAGAACAGACTAATGGTTTTTTTGAAAACTCCTAAGACGGCCATTTTCCACCTCTTTGAATTATTGTAGGTTGGGTGACTCAAGTTCAGATAATGAGAAGTTAGACTCCCCTTTTTTTATTGAGCATGTAAATGTTTTTATTGAGCATGTAAATGTTACTCAACTTTTTGGAATGGAAGTTTGGATACGAAATCTTCTTATGGGTACTCTTCTGAAGGTTCATTTGCCGGGGTCTGGTTCTGAAAACGTCTTGTTAGTTCCAGAATACTGTATTTCCTTCATAGGGGCCTACTCAAACCGTCAACGTTGAGCTCATTTATCTGGATTGCTGGGAAAGATATCCAAATTTGAACTGATAAAATATCACCAACATATTATCAGTTGACAATTTTAGATATTTTTTACAGTGATAAAGATAATTGAGCTTAAAATTGACGGTTTGGGTGGGCTTCTATTAGAAAATGCAACACATTTCGGAATTCGAACCGCATAGTATGTCCAATTTACTGTAAAACTTCAACTTTCTCATAGAACACGTCTCAGGAAATCCAATGATCATCCAATTGAAACAAGCATACTTTTTTATAGCAAACGAAAATTTCTTATAGCAAACATCAGATTCATTTTTTTTGTATTTCACTCTAGTTTGAAGTAGGTGAATCTCTTTTCTCCCAACTCCCCAAATAACGCAAACTCAGAATAACATTCTAAAATCAAAATTCATTGTATGTCTTCTCCTCCCCCGAAAAAAAATACAAAGAACAAGTTTCGGAAGTTGTACTTTTCCAACTTTTCATCATTCTTCAATTGAGGTTGACTCACAAAAAATACTGTAGGCGTTTTGCACTTTGAGATGAAGACGAGCAACCTTGAAGAATTGGAAAAAAATAGGGACACAAAGTGCAAATCACTTCTCTGTTTACATTATCTCTCTTTTTTTGAGACATTCCCAAATCCAATTTTTCAAGTCCGAATCGTACTTTTCCGACAGGCGCCACCACCATCAGCTGCGTTATCATTTAATCTGATTTTTTTATTTCTTCGTGTTCGTGTAATCCAATCAAAAGGGATAAGAATGATGTGATGAGATGAGAGGGACGAGAGAATTACGACCAACTTGAAAACTTGGTTTTCAAGGTCAATCAGGAAGAGGAACATCTTCTTTTCGACCGTCTGAGGAATAGACCGGAAACATGAGAGGCTTCAGAATCCACTTGAAAGTATTCTGTGGTCGAAAAGTCTGTGTCTAGGACTAATAGAGAACCAAAACACGAAACTATGGCTCTTATGAAAAAATGAAACTTCGAATTTTGAGAGAAACAATAAAAATCCGCATTCCTGAGATATCTTTTTGGGATCTTTCCCGGGCGTGGTATCCGTTCCCTCAAATGCAAAAAAGTTATGAATAAAAAACACTGGAATTCGGAAGAAACGGCAACATTCCGAAGATCTTGTCGTCCGCGGTTATAAAAGGCGATTGAAAGATCAGAGAAGAGCGAATTATTTGGAAAAATTCAGTTTTTAAATTGTGTTTTTGATTCTCAGAATTCTATGTACCTTTAGTGTTGTCAAAGGATTAAAATATGGTTGTGTGCCTGATTGTTGTAGTTTTCAGTTTTCAACTAAAATGATTTTCCTTTTCACTATTTAGAAGCTTGTAAAGGGTTTTAGCTTTGCAAACAAAAATATCGTCTGCACTCTAATAGAATGTCTCCCGAACCATGAATTTTGAGCCCATATATCTCGTTTCCTGTCAAAGATACCAAAAAGTGATCAACTGATAAAATGCTTATCATAATATAAAAAAACATTTTGTCAATTGACCTCTTTTGGATATCTCTTACAGAAAATGAGATAAATTGGCTCAAAGTTATTGAAATCTCGACGTTTTTAATAGAGTCTCTAGAATTTCTAGTTAGCCTTTTTAGAATATTAAAACTAATTTCTCCAGGATTACTGTATGTATTCGTAATGTGAGACACACAGAAACCCCCATTGACTTTTTTCCTGTAGTTTTATATATGGATTGCTGTACGAACTAATTTAGACATATTTTTTTTCTGCAAGCTCTGAAAATCTTTGAAACAAACGAAGACACTTCACAAAAGGAAACCTATCCCTCCATTTTAAAGAAGGGTTACTGTAGTTTAGGCTGTACTTGATCTTCCGTTTGAGATGTCATAATGAACTGGAAAAAAAGACGTTTTAGAATTTGAAAAAGGAACATTTCTAAACAGAAACTTTTACCGTAAATGACCTAATAGACGCCCACCCAATGCACTTTGAGCTCAATTATCTCGGTTCTTGTGAAAGATATCAAAAAGTAGTTAACTTATAAAATGTTCATCATAATATCACCAATATTTTATCAGCTGACCGTTTTTTGATATCTTTCATGGCAACCGAGACAATTGAGCTCACAGTGCACGTATATGGTGGGCTTCTATTAGTGCATTTATGGCATTTTGTATTGCGCAAAACATCATGTTTTGAAATCAAAAACTCAGTTTTGTTAGAATTTGAGATATAGAAGCTTCTGATCCATCGAGACAGTCATGTGGCATAATGTCTGCCATTTGAATCCACACTGTTTTGTTTGTTCAAACCATCTCCCACCTCCACCTAATCACCACTTTCTTTTCCACTTTCTCAATCCGAAATGGGTCAAGATGAAAGGTTCTGATGCCGACGACGGCGTTGTCATCAGGTGAATGCCAATCGTCGTTAAATCCGAAAAGAATCAGAAGCATTCGCGGAATTCGGAAGCTGTTAAAAATCCACCGCTGGTGGTGGTGGAGGTCTCCGTGGTGCTCTGCAACATAGTCGTAAATCACCTGTGCGTGGGAGGTCTTCTTCATCTTTTTCTTTTTCTTATCCAATCTTCCACTAACGTCTTCTGGCCCGCCTTACGGAAGGGGCTGGCCTCCCCCTCCCCCATTAAATTTGAATAAATAGGGTTGTCGTCACCAAAGAGTGAGGACTTCTGAATTCTCTCCAATTTCGGACAGCTGTCCTCTTTTTTCTTCGAGAGTCATCGTCCCAGGTTAACTAGATGCAGCAGGTGGGAGTGAAGGTTTCGAATTAGAATTCTATTCCTCTTTTTTGCCTCCCGACGACGCTCCAAAAGATTCATTGACTAGATTGGAAATTGAGGAGGAGAGGGAATTTATGTTCGGCCCCACTTTGCCTAATATGGGAAAGACCTCGAATTAGTAATGTAGTCGTTTCATTTCAAAACTTAATAGAGACGGTTTTCGAAAATTCGTTTTGAAATACCGAGAATTTAGAAATTCCCACTTACTAAAACTTTTTTCCTGAACATCCCTACCGTATTTCCTCTAACAGCTGCTCACACAACTGTCAGCTTTTTTATCTCCATTCCTGTTAAAGATATCGAAAATCTGTCAGCGGACAAATTGTTTATCATAGTATCACTGATATTTTATCAGTTGAAAAGTTTTTGATATCTATCACAAGAATCGAGATAATTGAGCAAACGGTTTTAGTAGGCTTCTATAAGAGGAAATACCGTAGTTCAATTCTTCGCATTCTCGTAAGTTCCTATTCATAATTGCTTGGCAGATTTTGAAAATTCTACCGTAATACGAAAATTCAGAAATAGTGTATGGATACTGTAGCTGGAATTTCGAGCAAAATATTATATTGGTACAAAAAAATCCAAAACAAAACTAAAAAAGTTCAGTTTTCTGCACTTCTGCTAAAACTGAAGTTTCTCGATCACAATAAAAAAACTTGTGTCCTTTAAGTTTCGCACTTCAAAATCATGATTTCATTTTATTTGTTGCAAATTCAAATTCCTGCAAATTTTGGGATTCTCTACTTTCCTAATTTGTAAAATCAGGTCATTTTCGAAATCCCGCCTATTCAAACTTTGCTCCTTCCCAACTTTAATTTCAAAATTCACGTATTCCTAGGCCCCGCCCCCTAATTTCTCCTCCAGACTGTCTTCACTTTTGTCCTTTCCGTCTCAATTGAATTAGCCTCTTTTGTCCGAATCTCCTGTTTTTTCTAGTTCAGACTTAATAGAAGTTCAATTGTACCATTACCATATAAAAAGTTTATTTTACTACTACTGTCTCGAGAATCGTCTATCCGTGCAGATATCTCAATTAGAGAGAAAAAGGACGTACGCGAAAGGAGACATCAAGTTTCGGGCAAAGATTAAAGAAACTATTTTCTTTGATTTTCCCATCTTTCGGGAATAAGAAGACGTGATAAAAATGGAGAGTGGCCACCCACACATAGCACTTAAAAAGTTCTTCACCTTTTTTGTTTTTCCCTTTTTTTTCCCAAAATCTTCTTTATCCAAATAATTACCGACAACAGTTTCCGGTGTCGCGAAACAGAATCTCATTCAGTCAGTCTCATCAGAATGTTCGCTTGTTCAACTAATCACCGCCCGTTTCTCATCTATCCCCCCCCCCCCCCCCCTCCCATCACTGACGACGACGTCGGCCCCCGCGCCTTCTCTCTAAATCCGCCGCCTGATTTGGCTCCGCCCACTTTCTTCAACTCTCCTCGTCGTCGCCAGAATGTCTGTCCCACCGAGATGACACTCCTACTTGTCTTTCTTTGCAACGTTATAGTGCGTTTTTTGTGGCTTACTATGTAAAGTTTCCAAGTTACAGTACTCTCTAATCTTTATACTTGTACATGGTCCCTCATCCATTCCAAATCTTATTTTCTTATTCTATCTTCACTACCTTATAACTTACACTGACATCATCTTACTGTAACTTTCTAATTCTTTGAACTCTGAATACAGTTAAACATATCGGTCCTTAGTACCTTGTACCGTCCATCTTTTTTCATTTCATTTCAATTGGCTGGTTTCTTTTCGGAGCGCCTAATCAGCGCACACTATGTGTGTGTGTGTCCATCCGATTGATACAAAGTTTTTGTCTCTTTTTTGTCCATTGATGACAACGTATCTCTATCTATCCCATCCTCCTCTTCCTCCCCATCCGTATCTCCCCCCCCCCCCCCATTTATCATGCCTTTTTCTTTTTTGCAACATACAACTCGATTCTAAAGGTTGGACATTCTTTTCTTAAGGTTATAAGGGATATGCTCATCTGAGTAGCTCAGATTCAGACCTCTAAACAAAAAAATTTCAGATTGAAAATTTTCGACGACTCTGGGTTACACACGTCACATGGCAAAATGAACTGCCTGACGCTTCTCGCTCTTCTGATTCCGGCATTCGCGTACAATGTTCCACATGGCTTCCTCCCAGGTAGAGCTCTTCTTTTCTAATCGTTTGAGCATCGGCTCATCCGCAATAATACTATTCTCTTTTTCTCATGGAATTCAAGATTCAGGTTACTGTAGTTCATGTGGTGGGAGCAAAGCCTACCGTATTCCCTCTATTAGAAGCCCACCCAACCCGTCAACTTGAGCTCAATTATCTCAGTTCTTATCAGAGATATTGAAAAGTTGTCAACTAATAAATTGTTTATCATAATAATCAAAACATTTTATCAGTTGACAAGTTCTTGATATCTTTCACAGGAATCGAGATAATTGAGCTCAAAGTTGACGGTTTTGGGTAGGCTTCTGTTAGAGAAGTACGGTAGTCTCTTTGGATAACTAGGAATCCCACGGCATGCAAGATTTAGGATACTGTAGTTTAGGACAATTCTCAGAAAAACCTATTATACTCCGTTCACTTTTTCTGAGTTCTAATAGACATTCGGATCATTTGAAAATTGCTTAAAATTACAGGTCAAGCCGTAACTTCACACTCTGGCCCCAACGATCTCGATAATGATGCATCAGAGTTTCAACACGATAGTAATGATGAAGTGAAACGAGAAAAACGTGGCTATTTCTTCCCTTCAAACTTCCAAAATGACGGTGGTCTTCTGGCTCGATCGGAGCATCCGAACGAGTATCTTAAGAAATGGATTGTTCACGAGCACAATCGGTATCGGCGAATGGTGAGTTGGTGTTACTGATTCAGCTGAGTGAGATTACTAGAATGTTTCGAAAGATTCTGGATGAATCAGAAATTGATGATTCATAGATGTTGAACTTTCTGAGAATAGGTTGAGTCATACCAAGTTTCTCATTGGCGAATGACATTCTGAGGAGTTTTTTGAATCTCTGAGGAATAGTTGAAAAATGTTAGAATCTCAGAATCTTCGAATTTCAGAATCTCAGAATCTTAGAGTTTCGGAATTCAGAAATGGAGAGTTTCGGAATCTCAGAATCTCATGATCTCGAAAATCTCCAAATCTCAGAACCTCAGAATCCTAAAATTTCTAAATTTTTCAGGTACCAGCATCTGATATGAACATGCTCTATTGGTCCGAGGAGTTGGCAGCATCTGCCCAACGTCACGCCGACACTTGTGACTTCCGTCACTCACGTGGACGTATCAACGTCGGGGAGAACATCTGGGCGGCACCTTACAGCAATTACTCGGACTCCATCTCAATCTGGTTTAACGAGGTTAGTCAACATTCTCATAATTACCAACAATCTCTCTATTTCTATTACAGGTCCACAATCCAAGATGTGGATGCAATCATGCCTACAAACACTGCTGCGGTCACTACGTTCAGGTTCTCTTAATCACCCACTTTTTCAATTATTCCTTTTTTGGCTAATCCAAACAACTGTGTATTCTTCAGGTCGTCTGGGCTAAGACCAATCTCGTCGGCTGTGGATTCTCTCGTTGTCGTGACGTGCAAGGTGTCTGGGGACGTGGACATCGGAACGTCTTCGTCTGCCACTACAATCCGCAAGGAAATACGGTATTCGTCACAGCGCGAGGACAGCTTTATGCGGTTCGTTGTCCCCTGTCCTACGTTTTCATCAAATTCATTCTGAGTCTAAGTTCTATTAACAGTCGCTTCGCCTAATTCGAGTGCAGTGAACTTGGTTTTGTGCCGTCCGTGATTTTTGGAATTCTCCAGAAAAAAAGTGGCGGTCAAATTTGCCACATTTTTTGCCACTAGCTTATCTTTAAATCGCCGACCTAAGTTTTTGGTCAGGCTTCATGCTTTTTTCCTCTCTTATTTCTGTTCCATGTATAACCCTTTTCTTATTCCTTATTAACTCTCTCTTCATCCCTCCTTTATTCCAGATGCCAGCCTTCACCTGGGCTTCCGGAGACACTGGACGATGCTCAAACTGTCCAGCAAATGCTCCAGCCTGTTATCAAGGTCTCTGTTATATGCCAAAGAATTATGAGCACACAACGACTACAACCACTCCATCTACAACGACCACAGAAGAGCCAACATCGACCTGTGCTCCAGACGAGGATGTGGATCCGAATGACGCCGAGGCTGAGGGCGCTGAAAATGATGATCAGTTCCGATTGAGAGCTTGAATGTTTTCTTGATGAGATCATCTTTCTGTACATTGAATCCCTCATTTTTTTTTCCCCTTCACACCTCCCCCACTCCAATAACCGATGAACTATGGATTGTTTTACCGACGGGTGCACTGCCGCTGCATTATTATTTATTCGAGATTTCTAAACTGACTAAGTGAATAAATGAGTACAACTTTGATCATTTTTTCGCAATTGGTGAAAACACAGAACGAATTGAGTGAACATGTTTTGGAATTTGAGATTAATGTTTGACTTTTTTGTGAAATTACAAAGTAAAGTAGCGTATCAGTTAACAATTATTAATATCTTTGGCAGGAATCGAGATAGATTGCCTCAAATTTGAAAAATACACCCTTCGATTGCATTTTTATGGTAATTGAGCTTAAAGAGTAAACATATGATGGCGCGATTTCTATCAATAAACTTTATTATAACAAAATTCATGACAAATCACAAAGTTAACCTTCAACTTTAACTTTGAGCAAATTTTTCTCGATTTCTGTCAAAGATGTAAAAAAGTTGTCAACTGATAAATTGTTAATCATAATATCAGAAGTGTTGACACATTTTCGGCAGTTGACACATTTTGGACATCTTTTACAGGAGTTAAGATAATTGGGGTCCACGTGCACGTATAGGGTGGGCTTCTAGAGCATTTTCGAGCTTTTACAGACATGAAAAACAACTTTTTTATGAGTCAAGGACATTTAAAAAAGATAACAGGAAGTGAGTTTTGAAGTCGGAAGTCGGATGTAAACTTCCATGCTTGGAAGTCGGAAGTCGGAAGCTATGCGTACGCTTTTCATTGTTTTTTCAATTTCTTTTAAAATTTGATATCGGTCATTTGGTAAAAGGGGGACGTTCAGTGGTAAACACCTAGCCATGAACCCCAAACAATGGCGACCTTTAGGGCCTTTTAGTACTTTTTTTACTTCGATGACGTCAATCAGTCTTCCAAAAAATGAAATAACAATGAGTAGCGCGCATCCTAATCTTCCTGGCAGTGGGCACCATCCAGCATCCAACATCCGAAATCCAACTTCGTCCTCCTTGTTGCCGTTTCCAGTGATCGTCGTCGAGAAGTGAGATCCCTTCCATCCCAGCTGCCCCGGAACCACGTTGCAACTCGGACTCCTCATCGATCCGACTTCTCGTTGACTTCTCCAGCTTATATAGCCCCTGTAGATCAGATCTGAAGATAAGATAAGAATAGAGTTCATGATAAAAGTCAACACGCAAAAATGTTGAAAATTCCCTATCTTAGAATCTCAGAATCTCATAATTTCCGAATCTCAGAATCTTAGCATTGAAACTTTCAGAATCTCAGAATCTCCAAATCTCAGAACCTTAGAATCTCAGAATTTCAGGATTCAGAAGAAATAGAATGGCTCAACGTGCAAGTATAAGGTGGCGTCCTATTAAAAAAAACGCAGATTCATTTCCACGTGAACGTTCCTTTTTCCTGAACACAATAAAAAAAAACACTGCCTTTAAACGGAGAAAAATTACGCACCAACCAGTTAGTTCCGATTTTTGCTTACAAAATCTGCAGTTCTAAATCTTGTGTGAACAAACGTCGATAGTTTCGAACGTCCTATCACTTGTGAGTCTAAAATGAACTTTCAAATTTTCATTTGTTATTTTCACACTAAACGAATAGAGCTATGAAAAAAGTAACACCGACGAAGAACGATAGTAAACGCAGAATCGGAGCCAATGGAGCTACTGATGAAGCTGCTTCGAAGCAAACTAGAAGAAGAAGAAGATCAAGAGCTTCGAAAGCAGTAGGGAAACGAGGAGAGAAGCTGGACCAAGAGAGAACCGATGTGTCGTATAGGAAGAAAAAGAAAGATCCAACGAAGAAGGGATCCAAAGCTGGAGTGAGTTTTTAAAAATCCATGAATATTCATAAAGATACAAATTTCAGTCACATGCGGCTACTCCGATCGGAAAGTCTCCTCAGCTCGTTCAGCCACCAACTCCGCCTACAAAAGCTGATAAGAATGAGAAGGTCGATACAACCAATACTGTCACCACCGACGAAGCGCTCACTGGTGGAACTACATCTCTGAGTACCGTATCTACTGTATCCACTACTTTATCCTCGGATCTTCCACCTCAGACTCCACCCAAGGTCACTGGATCTACACGAAAAACGAAGGTGATTGTGGCAGCCAGTGACTTACCACCGTCTATCAAACATGCAGCTGAGAAATGGGGAGGAGAGACAGCAGCGAAGGCGTGGTTGGAGAAAACCGAATTTTCAAAAGTGAAGGCTGACTTTGAGAAAATCAATTCAATGGTTGTGAATGTGGAGAAGGATTGCAAGAAATGGAAGGCGAATTCCAAATGGAACCAATCGGAAGACTATCCAGCATTGGATTCGAATCTAGTCAATGTGGAAGATGGATATGTCAATATGAGTCAGATTGACTTCCCATCTACTCGCAGTGTTCTTATGGGACAGATTCCAAAGAAAGATTCGGAAGAATCCTTCTGGAAAGTGGTGTTCGAAAAACGAAGCCTCCTGATCCATGTCATTGTCGAAAGCAATGATTCTTTCGATTTCTTCCCTCAGAAGGCTGAGGAGTACCGGAACTATGGATCAATGTGGACCAATAACCGACGGGTCGAGAATCTTCACGAAGACATCAGTCGTTTCTACATTGAAGTTTTGCCAACAGGATGTTCCAACTCCATCGTCTCCACGGTTACTGTGATCAAGAACTGACAAATAGACACTGTTCATCCGAAGCATTCGGTGGTTGTGAAGGAGACTGTCGAGTTGACCAACTACATGGCTGGAGCAACGGCTGAAGATACAGCACTCGTCCTTTCTCGTCATGGAGCCGGTCGTGCTGGATTCTTCCTCTCCTTGTGGATTGCTATGAACAAATTGAATGCAAAGAATGAACCATGTATTGCGGATATTGTCAAAACAATCCGTAGTCAACGTCCGAAAGCAGTGGAGACTCTAACTCAGTATGCATCATTGTACATCACTCTGTTCTATTTTATCAAGGTAGAAAATTTGAAACTTTCAATTTCCAAAATACCTTTTTTTTTTCAGAGAAAGATCGTGAAGGTGGATCCTGATAAGAAGGATCCGGTTGTCAAAAAATCGGTTGAGTTGAGCCAGAACTTTGCGAGTGCTCTTCTAGTGGATCAGAGTGTGATTGGGACCACTACAATGTTGACTCTAGCTCCATCAGCTACTCCAACAACGCCTCCGGCAATCGAAAGATCTTCAGCTGTTCAAGGATCCGCAGTCATGACAGTTTCTGGTCAAAAATAATAGAACTCAATTTTTCATTCAGTTTCAATAAAGCACATTTTCGAGAGCTATGAAAGCTTTGAAAAAATATGAAATCTAAAGATTTTTGATTCCTTAAAAATTATCTAAATTTGACCTAAATTTTTATCTACAATATTTAACGAAGACTTTGGAAATTTGTGTCCCCAGCTTCATCGAATTTCAGATGACTTTTTTTGTCTTGCCTAGGATAGTGGCCTAACTTTCTCAACTGTATTTTTCTAGGCCATCGTAGTGGATTGCCCGAAAATTTATTATCACGCACCTGATGTGTTTTCTAGGCGATCTCAACATGGTGGCTTATGTTTTGGAAGTTGAGTTTTCTAGTCCACAATGGCAAATAGACTAGAAAACGTACCAACAACTTTGATGTCCTAGAAACTTCAAATTTGGAAATTTATGTCATCATGGAAATGGATCTGAAAATATATAAAACCACAGAAAATGTTCCGAATCTGGTTCAGTGCGTAATTTTTTGAAACTTTCAGATTCCAGGCAATATTTTTCCATGCAAAATTTCGATTCTTTTCTAGTTAAAAATTTCCTAGGCTGTGCCAGAACGGCCGCAGCACTTCAAAAAAGGATACTTCTGAGATAGGGAGGGTACGGCGGCCTATCGGCCCTAGTAGTACCTGGGTAGCTGACCTTATTTTCAAAAGAACGGTCGGATTGGTCCACGGCAAAATACTCAAGGCCTCGGCCGCGGCCGATTTTCGCACAGCCTTGAAAATTTCTTTTCATGTTCAATTTATGTCACCACGACACTTGAAGCATCACGCCGTTTCCACTTCTTGAATCCACAAAGTTTCAAAATCTCTGACGCCAAATCGTTATTTCGAATCAGTTGATCAACAAAAGTACTCAAATATCTCGCAAAAAATGGGATGCTGTCAGTCGAAAAAAGCTAGAGATCAGCAGAATACTCGCAGAGAACCAGTGGTAAAACTATTATTCTCAATTAAAAAGCAAAATATGGATTTTCAGCCACGTCACTATCCGAAAGGTCGACCACCTAGTTACGAGCAGGCAGTGAAGCAGAAACCAGCTAGAAGATCAAGTGTAGAGGAAGCGAAAATTCAGAATGAGAAGAATAGAGAAAAAGAGGAAGCGATGATGAGGCAAGAAGAGCAAAAAGAGGATCCGAACCGGGAGAAAGAAGAGAAGATTGTTGAGAAGCCAATGGAAAAGTCAGTAGAGAAATCAGTGGACAATCAAGAGAAGGATGAAGATGCTCCGAATCCTTCTCCGGCTCCAGCTGCTCCTCCAGCATCAAAAGACACAAAATCAATTTCGGAGCCAAAACAAAAGAGTAGTGAGCACTCGAAGAATCAGCCACCTCCACCGCCTCCTCCCCAACGACGTCCACCGCCTCCGCCACATCATCGTCCACCACCACCTCCCGGATATCGTCCTCCTCCACCTTCATACTATCCTCCACCACCTCTTCCAGTCATTGTCGGACCACCGCCAGTTATCATGAGTCCGTATCCATATTACTACGATACAGTTGTCTTCGATCCGTTCTATGATGGATTCTATGGAGGATACGGTTGTGATGGATACGATTTTGGATTCTATTATTGATTGTTTTTTTCTTTTTTGAGCTTTTTTAAAATGAAGATTCAAAATGTTTTTATTATGTCAACAGTGAGCAATATCAGATTGATCCACGAACATGGGCCATCAAAGTCATATTCAAGCTACACAGATAAACATTCGAGTTTATAAACAACAAATTTAGCAAATTTATAAATGCTATAAAATCAGGAAAATCGTGAAACAGTCTCAGCAGCTTGCAAAGCTCCCAGAGAGAAATTATATCTCTTATGCGGAGGGAAATGGTGATATATTCATCAATCATTTTATCAACTATTTTTATATCTATTGGTCCCTTTGCATCAGGACTACTACGAATCTCTGCAAATTTGAGTCGATAAGTGGTCCGAATGGATGGAATCCGCTTGTCCAGGAACGCCATGACGGGAGGGAAGCTTTTCTCATAAAATAATTGGCTGTCCAGACTGCGAATATTGGTTCGTGGCTCTCTCAGTGTATAGTACTCCTCGATGGTGGAAGCGGCTTCAATTTCTTCTTCGCTCGGCTCTCTATATTTAGTCCAAGGTCCAAGTGGTGCAAATCCGAGCACGTCTCGTAGTTCTTCCAGGCCAACAACCTCTTGCGCTTCGAGTATCAAATTTGCATTCAAAGTTCTGGCCATCTCCATTTAAAAATGTCGCCCGATAGTTCTACGGTCATTTTTTCGAAAATTTTCATCGAACAATTTTGTGAATTCTTGTTCAAAATTCATGAAAATCAATCAGTTTCACTAAAATATATCAAATTTTTTAAGAAAAAAGTTTTGTGTCAACAAATTTCTGTGAAATTGTGGAATTTCCGGAATATTTTTCATGGAAAACGTACGAAAATTGTATTCATATTTATACCCGATTATTCAAATTATTATGGATATCATACCTGCATGTAAACGGGTCGCAAGGATGAGACAAATGACAGGTACTTTTATCATATATTCTCCTGGAAATCAGTAGTGTATTAATGCATTTAGCATAACGTGTAATAGAAGAACCCCTTTACTTTGAACTTTAAGTCAATTTATCTCGGTTCCTGTGAAAGATATCCAAAAGTTGTCCACTGATAAATCTTTCATCCTGGTATCATAAACATTTTATCAGTTCAAACATTCTTGATATCTTGCATACGAATTGAGATAATTGAGCTCAAACTTGACAGTGTGGGGGCCCTACTATTGCAGGTTTTACGGTATGTAAGAGAAGTGCGTGGGAATTGTTCAACGGAAAAAAAATTTACTAAACAAGAATGCAGAATGGATAGTCACAAATGTGGTTGTTTTGAAACAGCTACCAGATATCAATAAAGGAAACAAGAAGGCGACATCCGATCGACCTATTTCTAGACGGAACGTCTCTCTTGACACTTCTTTCACGCCTGGTTCGGAGATTAATATTCTTCTCATGACATGAAAAATGTTCGAAAGATCTTGGAAATTGAAAAACGGTCTCAAATAAAAAATTCTTTTTGGTTTAGAAGTTTTTGGAATTGAAGTGTCCCCAATTTCATGGAATTCAGAAGACCTTTTCTGGTATACGTAGTCTTGGCTAGGATTGTGGATATAATCTGGATTATATCCCCAGGTTATTTTTCTTATCAGGATTTAATTTACGAAAATATTTGAAAATGGAAAGGATTACTGTAGAGGAAAATATTCGAAAATTGAAAGGATTACTGTAGGGAAAGATATGTCACGTGATTTTTTTCTTTCTGTTTCACTTATCTTTGTTCTAGATCTAGCCCCCCTGCTTCCCAACATGACTCTTCCAGTCAGAATCTTCAATACTCACTCTTCTACTAACTCCTTCACTAACCCCCACCACCAAACCATCATGTACTATCGTCCACCAGTAAGTTTGGTTCTCCCCTAAAACCATTCCAAGTCCTAAACTTCCAGACCGTCATTCCCTCTGTTCCATGTGTCACTCCAATGGTAACCCCAGCCGTCGTCGCCACTCCAATGATCACTCCTGTCGTGGCGGCTCCGATGATGGCAACTCCAGTCGTGTCTCCTGTCGTCACCCCGGTTGTCGCTACTCCAATGATTGCTCCAATGGCTCCAGCCTATGCTGCTCCATGTGCTCCATTCGGAGGAGTCAGATACTTCTGAGAACTTATGATTTACAGAGAAAATAAAAGTTTTTAAGATGTGTTGTTTGCTTTTTTAAATATGAACCAGCCTGTTCGCCGCGCCTCCGGCGCTTCAAACAGCTGGAATCAACCTTCTTCTTTTACTGTTCGCCGCTTCGCGACTCACTTTTTTTTAAAGGTCACGTGAATCAATATTTTATTTTCAAGCTTCTCAAAAGTTTACAGCCGGACGCCGGGACAGACAGACGCGTATAGCGTTTTATCATTCTTATCTTTACTATTAAAAATCATCAAATTCTGTGTGTGTGGGTGTGTGTGAGTGCGTCCGAAGCTACTCAAAAGCTACTCAAAATGTGTTGTGATTGTCTCAAAAGTTGCTGTGACAAGCTAATGGGAAAGCCTCCAGCTCCACCTAAAAATGTATCCCAATTCGTCTATCCAGTCCATAAACATTCTTTTTCAGGCAGCCGGACCAGTGACTAATCAACCTGGGAAGCCTGGTACCAGTCCCGGATCATCGACGGCTGGAACATCCGCACAGGCTCCGCCTCCTCCTCCTTTGAAGAGAGGTTGTTGTGATAAGATCATGGGAAAGCCTCCAAAGCAACCACCTAATAATGTAGGCCTCGTTCTATTGAGAATTTTCAATGACGTAAAGTTTCCAGGGAAATAAACCAGTTACCAATCAACCTGGCAAGCCTCCTGGAACTCCTGGAACCCCTGGAACCCCCGGATCTCCCGGAGCAACCCACGGAAAGGAAACTCCTGGATCTGCCACGGCTGCAGGCGGTGCTCCGAATGCTGCAGCACCACCACCAGCTGCAGGAGCAACAAAGCCTTCAACTGCCGCTCAACCAGTTCCAGTTGCTGCAGGAGCCCCGGCTGCAGCGCCAGTGGCTGCAGGTGCACCAGCAGCTGCTCCGGTAGCTGCTGCAGGAGCTCCAGTGGCTGCAGGAGCTCCAGTGGCTGCAGGTGCTGCAGTGGCTGCAGGTGCTGCAGTGGCCGCAGGAGCACCAGCAGTAGCTGCAGCGCCTGCAGCCGTTGCTGCTGCTCCAGTTGCCGGTGTTGCTGCTGCTCCGGCCGTCGCCGCTGCTCCAGTGGTAGCTGCTGCTCCAGCTGTGGCTGCTGCGCCTGTCGTGGCTGCTGCACCAGTCGTTGCTGCTGCTCCTGTTGTTGCCGCCCCAATGGTCACACCGATGGTTGTTGGAGCTCCGATGATGTATGCCTCACCGATGGTTGCTGCTCCTGGACCTGTGGTGATTATGTAATTGAACTTGGATTCTTTTTTATGAATCAAATGAAACATTTTATGAACTTTCAAAAATCAACAATATCAGGTCAACAAAAAACAAACAACAAAAATTAGTAAACTCTCTTGGAAGCCCTTGTAATCGTAGACAAGAACTTATCGTATCTCGTTCTTTCCACCATCGGCAGATTGGTCGCAAGAAGACCGGGTGCGTTTTTATCAGCCAATGAATGAAGTTTCGACATGGCCAAAAGACAGTCCGATCCATAGAAAACAGCGTCTCCGATGATAGAAGCTGCTAGCTGAAAGTAAATAGAATGATCAAACTGATTGGAATTCAAACTGTTACCATAGAGAAATACGACTCATTTCGTTTCATCCCATCTACTAATCGAGAAACATCCTGACTCAATTTGTGACGACGAAGAATGAATCCCCTTTCGATTTCAACACTAAGTGTCGGCGAAGCTACAGCGTTCAAACTATTCCTTACAAACTTCTGACTGTTCTTCAATACTTGACTGTACAATTGACAGTAGAGTGCTGTATAAGATTTGATGATTGAATTCTTCGCCGACTTCATTACCACATCCAAAAAATCAATCATTTCCACGAGCACTGCGAACCAAGATTCATCACTCTTTTCCGTTCCAGGAGTTCTATCGAAATCTGTCCATCCATCAGCAACAATTCGGGAGAATACAACTTGTAGAGCCAGGGATTCTAGTGGACTTCTCCATACATTTCGATGAGAAGTTTGAATAGTTTCATCTCGTTCAAATGTTCTCCGCCCGGAAGCTCTTCAACAAACTTGACAACAGCATAGAGTGTTTACGGTATATTGCGCCGAAGGCGCACCAGCCAGGTGCTTGAAGCACCAGAGGCGCGGCAAACATGCTGGTATAAAAGATATACTAAAAAGAATTGAAAATTGACAGAGATGAAGAAAAAGGAAAGTTGGCAGCAAAAAACAATGAAATTTCAACGTAAAAAAGAAAAGTAAAAATGACGAAACTCAACTTCGCCTTCCAAGAAGAAAACGGCAATTCTCAGTGCAATCATAAAACCTAATTTTCCCCCCAATCCAATTGGCATTATCCATCTACACCTTTGCCTTTCTGTTGGAATTTTCGTAACGATCCATTTTTCGAAAATCGAAAACGCAAAAGTTGTCAAGCAGCATCCCAGAGATAAAAAGGAAAGAACTATGAATGTGTGCTTGAAAGGAGCAAAACAGACGTGCATAAGACCTGCGAAAATTGCCAATGCGATTGGTGTTGAATGAACAAAATCAATGAGGAACACCTCGAGAAATTGTAGTTTGACATTTTTCACCATTTTTTCTGTAAAATTAGTATCTTAATTAGTCAATTAAAACAAGAAAATAGAAGATATTTTGGGAAAACAAAACAGGCGGAAGAAGTTCGAATATAATTCTCGATTATATTCGAATCAATCAACCGTTATTGACTTAGTAACATTTGGACCCATGGGGGCAGATGTGAGAGGAGAGGGGAGTACAGTATACGTTAGATATGCAGGAATACGTTAGATATGCAGGAATTACGTTAGATATGCAGGAATTAGACATCGCTCACTTTCCCTAGGGGGCCGATCATAGTTAATATTGACTTCGCAAAAGTTCTATTTTCCAATAGAGTATCTTCCCCTCTATTGAAAAATAGAGGTTTCTGGTTTCTCTGGCACTCTATTATTCTGATAAAAATCGGAGCTGTGGTAGAAAAACACCGGTGAGAGTGGTAGAAGGTCTCACAACGACAACTGCCGTAACCTAAAAAGATTTTTGATAGTGAAAAAAATTGACTGAAAATGCACAAAAATTCAGATGATAAATCCGGAAAACAAACTTATTTTTAGGTTACAGTAGTTGACGTTGTGAGACCTTCGGCTACTGCCATCAGTTTTTTTTCCACTACAGCTCCGAGTTTTTACCAGAACCAGCATGTTTTCTCCATTCCTTTGATAGACCACCAAAGACACGTTAAATTTAGGTTTCGGCACTTCCAAAGCTCGTTCTTCTTTGTCAATTAACTGACACTTCCACACGCTGTTAGAATAACTTACCCACTTCTCATCTCCGGTAATTAAACTCCCCCCTCGTATACTCAGAGTTAGGGTGCAAAAGGGCCAATTCACGTACGGATGCTTTTTCCCGTGAACTTTTTCGTCTGACGCGTTTTCGGCTATTTTGTTCATTTACAGTTAAAATTGCGAAAAAAAAAATCCAAAATCGGTTAGAGACACATTATACATAAAGAGCCAAAAAATTTTGCAAAAATTGGAATTCATAAAACTTTAAGTGTTGTCAGAAAGGGGAAATTTTTTCTGCATAGGTATTCAAAATTTTCTTGGGGGTTTTACAGAATTTGTTTAACTTCTTTTTGAGAGCTAAAAGTACTTTTTAAGGGCTCGAAGTACTTTCAATAGCTAATTTGGCATATAGTGTCAGTTAGACTTCTAGGGGGCTTTGTTTTTAGGTATCCGCCGATTTAGGGTGCTAAGCTTGTTTCTATTTGGAATCTTGAACTTTTCTTCCCGTTTTGGCCGATGCCTATTTTTTGTTGGGGGTTGGCACTGAACGTACGAAGTCAACTGAACGTACGAAGAAATGATAGGAGACACATGCTCATGTCTCTTCGTTTTCCCGTTCTGATTTTTGGCTTCAAATCGATCGGTTTAATGCTTGATGGTAAGGACAGTAGGATTTCAGAATTTCAGAAATTTGCATACTTGTAAAATTCCGGGCCGGCCCGCCAAAGCCCGGGTGTTTGAGGAAAATTTCAAGTCCCGGGCCCGGAAGGTCCGGTAGCAAAAATTTTGTCATTTTGAACCGAATTTTGAGCTCTCAATACAATTCTCTATATTTTTTTGTGCGTTTTGGATTGTTTGTCTGTTTGATCAAAAAATATTTTTAAAAAACTCGAAAAAAAATTTTTGATCGAAAAAAATTACATAAGGGTCCCCCTTACGTGTTTTTTGAAATTTTCAAAACTTGTGGAATGACAGGCCCGCCGGGCCGGGCCTCCGAGATTCGGGAAAAAGCCCGGCCCGGCCCGTTACAAGTATGGAAATTTGGAATTTCAGAATTTTAAACTTTCAGAATCTCAGAATCTCAAAAAATAAAATGGCTCAACGTATAGGGCGGCGTCCTATTAAAAACCGCCGTTGTATTTCTACGGAACACGGTGAATAATTGACGAAATTTGATTTTTTTTCGGATTTGTGGGCGCTTTTCGCGATGGGTGAAAAAATAGGTTTTTCGGGAAACACACAAAATGAGCCTAAAAGCGTCAAATTTGGTTAAGAATTGAAGGAGGAAATACATTTTTCAGAAAATCAACTGAAAAATGCAGTTTTTCGAGGTTTTTGGGGATCTATTAAAATACCGTTCATCATAAATTTTTCTAATTAACTAACTTTTGTGCAGAATTTTCTCGTAAACATTTTGATATAAATTATTTTCGAAAACGCTCAAAAATGAGGGAGGATATAGGTTTTGAATCACTCAGATTCGGATCAGATTACTGTAGATTTGGCTAAAATTTACTTTTTTTTCCAAAATTTTTTGCTTATTTATTCGGCGTGATATTTTTGGTGTGGAATTTTTGGCTTGGATTGGGGTGGAATGACCTAGATAGGGAAGAATTGAGGGAAAAGGAGTGATGCCTAGACTCTCAAAACCATCCACAATGTCAGTTCACGAACAAATTAATTTTTTTTAACTTTTTGAATTTTGCTTTTTTATCGATGCACGAGAAACGCGTCAACAATCACCAGTTGTGCGCTATTCGTGAATTATTCACCGTGCTTAAACGTTCTTTTTTCGAAGACACCGAGTTACAGTTCCGAACAAACATATATGAACTTTTGGATTTTCGACTATAACTTTCTTCAATTATTATTTGCGCGAAACCTCTATGTATACTACTGATATTTAGGCTGGCCAAAACGGCGTTTTCTGGCGCCACACGCCGCTTTTAATTTTTGCACTGGCCGCCAGTGCCAGTTTTCAAAGCGGCGTGAATCGCCCGCAAAATTTTTCCCAGGCATTAAACGCCAGGTTTTTAAAATATGATTTTTTCAATAGAAAATACTTCATAGAGAAAAGATTGAAAAAGAAAAAAACGACAGATGATCCGAAACAGTGAAATGGAATGAAATTGATATTTTTAGTCCTTCGAAATATTTGATTACTTCTGGAATTATGTTTGTAATTTTGAAAATCTGGTGTCCGAAGCTTTTGAAAAATGTTTTCCGAAATTTCAGAATTTCCGAATTTTAAAAAGTCTTTGTGTGATTTTGAAAGTTTATGGATTTCATGAAACTCTAAACTTTCCTGAAAGTTTCCGAACTTCGAATTTTCAGGATTCAAGAATTTTTGAATTTCCTGGAAATTTCAGTGTTTTCATCGTTTTTCAAAAACTATTTTTGGAGTTACTGTACTGTCATGCTTTACATTATTGAACGATCAAAAATGTTTTGATTCCTAAATTTTTGAAATTTAAAATTTCAAGATCCCTAAACTTCGGAGTTTTTTGAAACCTGCATTCTGACGTCCCGAGAATCAAAGTTTACAACTTTAAATTCTAAAAAGCTAAACAACTACTTTTGAACTAAACCTCGATCCAGACATAATCACAATAACTATTAATGGAAGACTAGTGGTAACTTCTCAAACACCAAATTCGTTCTAATATTTTATAATTCCCATTCTCTCTCTTTAACCTCAATTATCTGACTTCTTGTAAAACATCTGACCAAACTGTCAACTGCCGAAATGTTTTTCTTGACATTTGGAGCATTTTATCAGTTGACGGTTTTCTGCTTTCGTTCATAAGAACTGAGATAATTAAAATTGAAGCTACAGTGAGGGGATATTGGTGAATCAAAAGGTAAATTCTATTCTCAAAAAGAAAGCGGCGTTTGACGCCGGTTTAAATCTTAAACAGGCAAATATTGCCTGCTTAGAAATTTCGCTGGCTTTTAATGCAAATCACGTGAAATTGAAAGGCCCATAGCTCTGGCACTGGCGGCCAGCAACAACCCTACTGATATGACTAACACTGTCACCACCGACGAAACGATCACTGGTGCAACTACATCTCTGAGTACCGTATCCACCGTATCCACTACCCTATCCTCGGATCTTCCACCTCAGACTCCACCCAAGATCATGCATGGATCTACACGGAAAACAAAGGGGATTGTTGCAGCCAGTGACTTCCCACCGTCTATCAAACATGCAGCTGAGAAATGGGGAGGAGAGACAGCAGCGAAGGCGTGGTTGGAGAAAACCGAATTTTCAAAAGTGAAGGCGGACTTTGAAAAAATCAATTCAATGGTTGTGAATGTGGAGAAGGATTGCAAGAAATGGAAGGCGAATTCCAAATGGAACCAATCGGAAGACTATCCAGCATTGGATTCTGTGATGTATACGTTTATAAGTAATAATTTGCTTGCTTCTATTTTGCCGTTACGTACCGAAAATAAAGTTACTGAGGCCTATAAAGATATTGATGTTGCTTTTCAGTTGTTATTCACACTCTCGTATTTCCAGCTAGAGAACTAAAAGTTCTCCCATTGGAACCAGCTGCTATAATTTTCTGTCAATGGATCGTCATTTGCAAACAGCCGTCTTTTTGAGACCCCGCAAACTCCTGGGAAACAATTTTCCGGTAAATGTGGGCGGAGTCAGAGAGCGGAGCTTAAATTGCAACATTTGCACGGTTTTTCTCATGACCGTATCCAAATGCGCTAAAACATCGTGCCAGAGTTGTTGTCTTATCATAATTTTCTCTATAACTCCAGCCACTAAGTAGGTTAATGGAACTTTATTAAAATCAACAACATCCTGTCAACAAAAAGCAACATTTAAGCAACAAAAAATCAGTAAACTCTCTTGGAAGCCCTTGTAATCGTAGACAGGAACTTCTTGTATCTCGTTCTTTCGACCGCTGGAAGATTAGTTGCGAGAAGACCAGATGCGTTTTTATCAGCCAATGAATGAAGTTTCGACATGGCCAACAGACTGTCCGATCCATAGAAGACAGCGTCTCCGATGATAGAAGCTGCTAGCTGAAAGTAAATAGAATGATCAAACTGATTGGAATTCAAACTGTTACCATAGAGAAATACGACTCATTTCGTTTCATCCCATCTACTAATCGAGAAACATCCTGACTCAATTTGTGACGACGAAGAATGAATCCCCTTTCGATTTCAACACTAAGTGTCCGCGAAGCTACAGCGTTCAAACTATTCCTTACAAACTTCTGACTGTTCTTCAATACTTGACTGTACAATTGACAGTAGAGTGCTGTATAAGATTTGATGATTGAATTCTTCGCCGACTTCATTGCCACATCCAAAAAATCAATCATTTCCACGAGCACTGCGAACCAAGATTCATCACTCTTTTCCGTTCCAGGAGTTCTATCGAAATCTGTCCATCCATCAGCAACAATTCGGGAGAATACAACTTGTAGAGCCAGGGATTCTAGTGGACTTCCTCCATACATTTCGATAAGAAGTTTGAATAGTTTCATCTCGTTCAAATGTTCTCCTCCCGGAAGCTCTTCAACAAACTTGACAACAGCATCGAATACTTCTTTCTTCGTCTCCGCAACATGAACTCCTTCTAATAATTCAATCGACTCGTCAACCGATAGATCGGATGACTCGAGTTTTTCAATGACTTCTGGTGCTGTTCTGTTCACAAACTTCTTTGGGGCATGCTTCTCGTCGGCTGATTTCTTAACACTTTTCAGAGCTTTTTCGATTTGGTTATCCAATCCTTTGGCTCCTTTTACTAGTCTTTCGAGTGCATTCATTGGAACGTCCTTCAAGATTTCTCTACCAACATTCCATCCTCTTTCATCTTCGAAAACCATCGCAATATTCAAAACAAGTATCGAGAGAGCTGCAAGATAGTTGCTATCGTATGATTTGTCAGCGACGGAGATAATAAAATCTAGAAAATCAGCTAGTTTCTTGGCATTTCTGCTAGAAACGTTTCGGCGGCTTTTGATTTCGGAGATCGTAGAAAGGTACTTCGCCAATTCTTTCATCCTGAAATTAAATCATAAGGGGAATGAAAATGAGTGATATCGGTTTACTTCAAAGATTCGAAGTCATCAATTGAGACTATATCGGCATTGGTAGCTTCAAAGAAGCATCGGAAGGCAACAGCCACCGCTTGATAGATAACAGATGTTATTTGAACTTCAGAGGTGGTTAAACGATTCGATAGAGACATCAACTGAAAATGACTCGGTATTTTAAATAGGCTTTCTAAGAAATATACCTGATTCGACTGTAAACCAGACTGGATAGATTTCGAAAGCAATTGAACACAGTTTGATTGATGGAGTGTGTTGCTAAAGAACTCCAAGTGGTTGGTGTATATTTTTGAGAGCTAAAACACAAGGTCGAGATTTTTGTGAACAGTTCGATTTCTTACTAATTGCAGCTCGTCTTCAGGAATCTCGTTTTCGGAAGAAAGGGACTTTTGAAAAGATTCGTCTCCAGTCAAAGAACTAATCATCATCATTCCGTAGTCTTTCTTCATCGACTTTTCCACAAGCACTGATTTCTTCCAGTACTCGAAAACATCTTCTGATTTTGAATTATTATCTCCGTATGCATTTTCAGCCAAGACCAGTGAAATTAGTGCGTAAGCGAGAGCCAAGGAATCAGCTGAAATCTCCAACGCTACAAGATTTTTCATAGTCAACACAAACCTCTGCGATGTTCATTCCACGACTTCTGAATAGCCAATGGCAGGCCTGATTTGATTTCTTGCAACAGTTTGCCAAATCCATGACCGAGAAGGTTTGATGAGTTGATGAACTCGGTGGCGATCAGAATTTCGCTTCTGGAAAAATCTCTATAGAAAAGGGATATGGTTCTTAACAACTTACAAGGATCCTGACTCATTTAGATTATCCTGAATCAACTTCCAACAAGCAATGGCGGAATCGATTCCAAGGATAGAAAAATGTTTCCGGAAAATTGATAGGAATGCTTCCTCAATATGAGCCTCAGATTTCTGGAAATTTGAATCGGTGAAAATATGAGTGTTCTGTTTTTCAAAACTCACTTTCTCTCTACAAATCTTCAGTGCAACCTCGAGAATCGCTTGCGGACGACGAGATGCTTGAATTTTATCTAGTAGATCTTGAGCTGACTTGTTGTCACCTTTAAAAATTCAAATTAATTTATGACATATAGAAAATCGAAAATTTCTTACTGATTAAAGCGAGAGCAATCGGTTTCTCGGTGTTTTCTTCTGGTTTTTGAGAATATACACCGATCGCATCTTTCAGAGCTGTCGTCAGCTTTCGTCGCTTTTTTTCTGGAGCATCTCCCATCTAAAAATTTTTATTTTTCATGAAAAATGAAGTTTTTAGCGAATTTATTCAGATAAAACCTTTTTAGTTAGGTAAATTCTTGAAAAAAAGAAAAATCTGCGATGTTTGCAAATGACGCTCCATTGAGAAAAAATAATGGCGGCTGGTTCAAATGCGAGAACTCTCAATTGTAGAGCTGGAAATACGACGAAATGTGATAGAATAACACCTGAAAAGAAGCATCAAGATCTTTATAGGCCTCAGTAACTTTATTTTCGGTATGTAACGGCAAAATAGAAGCAAGCAATATACATGTTGAACATAAACGAAAATAGTTGTGCGAAAGAATGTGAGGTGATTAAATATGGGGGGGGGGGGGGGGGATGGGAAATATATAAAAATGGTGGTTAGTTGAAGAAATATTCAACAAGAGAACTGTGGTTATTTTCATACATATACAATGATACAGATTAGTGAGTTTTACTACTTGAATTTTTCTTATTTTAATCACTATACTGGTACTCATCGAAAGACCGGAGGTATGAAATGAGATCTTCCACTGGCGGGACCCCGTCTTTCAGGGGAATCATATCTTTCTCGACTTCAAATTCGACTAATTCAACTGGCTCTTCCACGATGAGCACTCTCCGATTCATGCATCTGACCGTCTGTTCCAATTCGATAAACTGAAAAGCTTTTTGAGTGAGGAGCAACGGAGCGAAGAGAAACTCACTTTGATTCTGGAACCTCTCGAGCTCGAATTGTTCACATATGTGATTTGCACTTGCACATGGCGTTTTCGTTCCACAGAGCATGTAATTGAAGCCGACGAAGCAACCAGGTCGCCGTGCTCGTCAAGAACTGGCTCTAATTCTCCGTATTCTTTGCAGTTTCTCGTTTGGAGGCGGCGAGTGGTTTTCTGCAAATTCCAATTGTGGGAAAGCCTCAAATCGAGTGAACCCTTACTCTGTTACCACCGGGTGGAGTTATCGATGCGGTGATTATCTCATCGGATATCTGGAACCCTTCATTCTGCACCACCATGTTCTCCAACAGTTCGTACAGAACGTGGAACGGCATCACAGTCGTCGTCCGTATCGCGAATCTCGCGAGGCTCTGGCCGGTTTCTTTTGGCTCGGATAGGAGTGATTTCTGAAAAAAAAAACATTGAAATGCATATTTAATAACCCGATGAATTCACCAGAATAAGCTCCGGAAGATCATCAATAGCGAGTTGTCGGCACTGCATCGCAAAGAAGTATGGCCGACAGTTAGGATGAAGCAGAACGTATTCGACAAGTTCTTTCTCCGAGTCGCGCGAAGTATGGAACCAACGTGTCATGAAATAGTCGTGCTTCTCAGTGCGCAATGTTTCAACTGGTGTTTTCTGTAGGATATTGAGCACCTTAGCAGCTTCATCTCGGATTATTGGTTGTCGTTTGATGATTAGTTTTGGTGTCTCGTCAATTCGGTGCACAGACTGATAGTTCTCATCTTCGACGAGCTCCACATCTTCTCCATTCCCTTCGATGAGGTCCTCGTTGTGCAATGCGCGTTTCGGCTGGACCACCGAGCAACCAGCGCGCACTGTTTCCAGCTCTTCGCGTTCCACTTCTTCCGTGTTCGGAATGTATCGTGTGACAAGCATGTCGCGGAGCACAGATCGTGGCATCGATGCCATTCTGGAAGAGAGAAAGGATTGATGAGTTGAAAAAAGTTCAAAATAGCTTTGAAGCGACAGAGAAACATGAAAAAATGTAGTTTTCCCGCAATTCGAAAAAAAATCTACAGTAATCTGCAACGTCGTTGTAAAACCTGAGCAAAGTTTTGCTATTGCTTCCTTGAAAAATAACCGCCAATTAACAGAAATTCAAATTGTGCTGCGGTTTCATTCCTTTTTTTGTTATGATTCAGGTTTTCATAAAAATAATCGCCTAATTGCATATTTTCAGAAGATGAAGACAGTCATCGCCACTTTTCTCATCACAATAATCATCGCGCTAGCACAAGAATCATTCTTAAGAGGTGAATCGCAGTTTTGAGACTGAAATGCTGAATATTGGTGTTTTTCAGATTGTACTAACGCACCCGACGGTCTCTATGCAATTGGTGCATGCGAGCCACAGTTTCTGACGTGCTTCGGTGGAATAGCTCGAGTAATGGACTGTCCGGCTGATCTCGCGTATCACGAGAGTGAACAGATTTGCGATTGGAAGCACAACATCGCGGGTTGTAGCGTCGAAACCGAATCCACCGGAGAAGAATACGCATCTGGAGAATCATCTGGAGATGCTAGTGGAGACGATTCCGAAGATGCTTCTGGAGACGTTTCTGGAGACGGGTCAGGCAGTGATAACAAGGATGGAAGTGGTACTGAAATCGAAACATCCGGCGATGAAGTTTTAGAAAACGGTTCATTTCTTCCCTCATTCAAAAATTCATATTTCATTGTTTCCCATTTCAGTTTGCGAATCCCGAGAAGATGGTGTCTACACATCGGAAGTCTGCGCTAGTGCCTATTTCATATGTACCTCGAACTCTCCTCGTTTCCTTGTCTGCACAACACCTCTTTACTACGATTCAAACGGACAGAAATGCGACTGGGTGGATTCTATCAAAGAGTGTGAGAAGGAGCCAACAACAACTACAGTAGAAGACATCACGTCAGGATATAGAGCTTACGGAGAAGGGTCGTCTGGAGAAGAAGAAGAAGAAAGTGGACTTTTAACGAAATCTTGTGATGGAGTCGCAGATGGTATCTACCCAATCAGCGAGTGCTCAACAAATTTCCTCACTTGCTCCGGAGGTATCCCCCGCGTCATGGACTGTCCATCTTCACTCTTCTTCAATCCTTCTCTTCAAGTTTGCGATTGGCAAAGAAACGTTGTTGGATGTTCCGGAGTCGAGGCGCCAAAACCAACTTGCGAACAGAATGGATATTTCTCGTATGGCAAATGCTCCTCCTCGTTCACCGCTTGTACAAATGGACGTACCATTGTAATGTTCTGCCCCAACGGACTGAAATTCTCTCAAAGAACCCAAATGTGCGATTATGAACGCAACGTGTCAGAATGCGATGTCGAGTCATCAGGAGAACCACTAGAGGAGAGTTCTGGATATTCTAGATATGGAGAACAGGATTCCAAGCTGACTCCATGTGTGAACATGGAGAATGGTCTCTATGCTCTCGAGTGTACTCCACGCGTATTATCTTGTCAAGACGGAAAGGAAGAGATCTTTGAATGTCCGTCAAACCTAGTTTTCAATGAGAAGTCGCTTATTTGTGATTATCCGGAAACCTCCCAAAAATGTCAACTAGAAGGTATTCACTTGATATCTCATAACTTTCCTCTAATCTGCATTGTTTCAGAGACTTTGTTGATTCGTGATGCGCCAATGGCTACTTACGACTGCGAAGTCGATGGGCTCTTCTCGGTCGCTCTGTGCTCTCGTGAATACCACAAATGTTCCGATGGTCAGCTCATCAAACATCAATGTGCTGAGCCGAACTCAGTCTTCTCGGCCGTCGACGGAGAATGTGTCGATTTCTCAACTCTCTCTCAATGCCACTAATTTACTCACAATTATTAATGTATATATGATTTTCAGTTTAGTATCTCACATGTATTCATTTCGATATTCTCTGTAAAATGTACTGCTCGCCGTTCATAAAGTGATTCCTGCGCTTTTAATTGTAACCATTGAAGTTGACCTTCCCTCCCCTCTCCACAATTGAGTGATGGTCTTGTCACTCGGCTGCTGCGTCTCCGGCCATCAGGTAGGCTCCAGACAGCTGGAACGGAGCTTCCACGTCAGCTGTCGTCTTTACTACTTTTCCTTCATCAAGTTGGGGGCGCCCAGCCCGATACTACGCATTGATTGGTCACTTTTGTCTTGCTGGCTGCTCATTGGCCTTTATCACATCTTGTATCCGCCCTCATCGTCGAGTTATCAGTTCTGGAAATGTTTTCCTCTTTTTTCCCGTCTGACATTTTTTAGTAGTAGTCTTCGGAATTCTAGTGACGTCATAGTGATCTTCTGATTCTAAATCAGAGAGTACACACAAGTGACCAGCGGCATTCTCATCGTCTGTAAAGCTCATTTATTTTGAATCTAGCGCCAAAGACAAAGATTTCAATCATGTTGAAAATCCAATTTCAGATTTTTTTTGTTGATTGACTCGAATCTATCTTCAGAATCTTCCCCAAAAACTTTTTGGAAAAATTTGTTGATTTTTTTCTCAAAGAAAGCTTAAAGTTTCTGAAAATCGAGAATTAAATTTTTTCTTTTTGAGACTTCTCAGTTTCAGCAATTTATAGAAAATCTATAAATCTGACAGTTCTAAAAACCCAACAATTCTTCTGTCTTTAAAAATCTAAAATTCTGAAATACTAAAATTCTAAAAATCTAAAATTCTAAAATCTTAACATTCAAAAATACTGAAATTCAAAAATACTGAAATTCTGAAATACTGAAATTCTAAAATTCTGAAAATCCAAAATTCTAAAATTCTAAAATTCTGAAATCTAGAAATTCAGAAATTCAGAAATTCAGAAATTCAGAAATTCAGAAATTCAGAAATTCAGAAATTCAGAAATTCAGAAATTCTAAAATTCTAAAATTCTAAAATTCTAAAATTCTAAAATTCTAAAATTCTAAAATTCTAAAATTCTAAAATTCTAAAATTCTAAAATTCTGAAATTCTAGAATTCTAAAATTCTAAAATTCTAACATTCTAAAATTCTAAGCAATCGAAAATTATGGAGGATACTATCGAATCCCCAAAAAGCCTGGTTTTGTCCCAAGGTCAAAAAGTTAGCTCTCGTTTTTACTTCTCTTCCCTAGGTTTCCCTGTTTCCTTCTCCAATATCTTCTTTATCTTCTTCTTTTCTCACAACAAAGAAGAGTCAATTACACCTGGCAGTATTGCCTCTCTCACTTTTCAAAGTTCAATTCATACTTCTTCTTTTTCTTCTTTCTGTTCCTCTGAGACTCGATAGAAACAACAGATGACAACGGCATTTCAGAGAAGGATTTTTTTTTCGAGCTCAAAGTTTCAAACTGCTACCTTGCCGCCAGCTCTGGAGCCCTCTCTGATTTCCACTATATTTTCCTTTTTCTCTCCCCGCAACTTTTCGATGCTCAACCCGAACGATGCCGATGACTCGGATAGTTCAACCGACACACCACCGCCGCCCGTCATCGCTGTGCCAAGACCCAAAAGATCGGCTACCGTATCACCGAGCACTAGGAACTCTTTCTATAATTCAAGGTTAGGGTATCTACCGTAAAACCTGTAATAGAAGGGCCCATACGGTCAACTTTGAGCTCATATTACTTTTTTGCTGTAGAAGATATCAACAATTTGCCGACTGATGAAATGCTTGTGATATTATGATAAAAAATTTATCAGTTGACAACTTTTTTATATCTTTCATAGGAACCCAGATAAAGTGGCTCAAAGTTAACGCTCCTTCTGTATTACAGGTTTTACAGCATTTATTTTCATACTCTATAACCTCATCCCTTCAGAAGACGTAGCGATGCAAATCTAAACTTTTTCAACGAGAGAGAACGTCAACGTGAGAGACGCAGAAGTATGGTCAGAGCTAGTCGGGAACGAAGTGAAACTAGAAGAGCATCTCAGCAAAATCTGAGGAAAACTAACAGTGAGCCTAATGTGGATATGCCATCTGTAATAGGATTCTAGAAATTTATGGTTTCTGGAATTTTTGAATTTCAGATAGACGTGGAGGCTCTTCAGAAGTTGTTACTGTCTCTACCAAAGTTTGCATCAACGTCAAGGTCAAGAGTTGTGAGTTCTTTTTTTACATTTTAACTCAAATTTGGATACCGTATTTCCTCTAATAGAAGCCCACCCGAACCATCAACTTTAAGCTCAATTATCTCGGTTCCTATGAAAGATATCAAGATTGTGTCAACTGATAAAATTCTTATGATACTATGATAAAAAGTTTACCAGTTGACAACTTTTTGATATGTTTCACAGAAACCGAGATAATTGAGCTCAACGTTAACGGTTTGGGTGAGCTTCTATTGGAGGAAATACGGTAGTTCGAAAAATGAGCTCAACTTGCTCACGAATTCCAACTAAAACAGTTTCAAATTACCGAAATCACAATTTCAGAATCACCGTCACGATTCGGATTCGGGTGGTGAAATGACTACAGAAATTGAAGAATTAAAAGACGCGGCGAAAAGTATTCAATCCCTTCAAAGAGTTCTTGCCTATCCATCCCAAGTATCTTCTGATCGTGGAGGTAATCGTTGTCTTCTTCCAACTGTTGATCCGATTGAGTCGTGTCTAGAATCTTCAGTATTCTCCGATGTGGACGATGTCTCATTGGCTACAGACACCACCGATGGAGGCCGTCGTTCTGGGATTTCCACTCGGTTGGGTCATCCACGTGGCGTTATGCAATTCATACCTTCGGATCAGAAATGAC